ATTTATCATGGATACAGTAGGTGTATAAAATGCACTTGACCAAACTAGTATTTCGTACTAAACAGGAAAGATAGCACAATAAATAAATAATTAAATAATGCATATTCAGTGTATACCACCGATAAAGATATATAATAACATATAATACTTGGATATAACACCGATAGCATCAGCAACTTGGACAAAATGTGTGTGGAATAGCAGGGTGTTGGGATTTTGTAAAAGTTGATACATAAATATTAACTGATGTATATGAAAAAATGAATGTGATCCACACCATATCCAGAGTGTGTCTTACACTCGAATGTTGAATGTGGCTGAACTTGGAAACTTCTCAGGACGGTTGACTCACACCTTATGTGAACTGACTGCAGATCAATTGCGGACAGGCCGTCTTACATCACAAATCCAGAACACTCGGTACATCTTCTCAAGCTTCTCCCTTTTGCATTTACAAGTCTTCCAAAGTTACGGTCGTTCACAAGAGTATCATTGCCAAAAGACGTAGTTCCATTTCCAAATTTTACCCTAACCTATGAACCACGATCGCTTCAAAAAAAAACCGCAGCTACACATTACGCAGTGGATTTGTTAGAACACATTAGCAAGAGCAAGAATCATGCTCCTTAAGGCTTCAACATGCCGATTGCAAAGTGAAGCTTTCATTTCAGATTTCTCTTCCTGCTTTCCTTACCTTCTTGCTACTGATGGCGGCTCTTCCCATCGCTCCTAGGAGGTAAAGTCCAAGCAGTGGTCCTCCAAATTTACCGAGAAAACTTTGTGAACCCCCTTAAGCTGGTGAGAAATATCCCAGTTGATCGCAATACTTATGTGCATTAGACCATGCAAACGTCAGAATGTGTCATTCCCTGCAGGTATTACCATAGGCATAACATGAAACCTATGCCATACTATAAATAAAAATTATTTTATTTTGAGAATAATGACTTACAGGAATCAGTTCTCCGGAGACTGTAAAGTGGATCAAGCTTGAACCATTGTTAAGACTACTGGTAATTACTACAGTGATGGGATGTGGAAAATATACATCAATCTTTTCCTGCTCCTCGATAAGATCTCCCTTGTCTACATTTTACTTGAAACAGGATTCTGTGTGTTCATGGATCTTGTTCACATGGACAGACTACCTGTAACAAAGGTTTGCCGGAGAAGAGAATCTCCCCGCTCAATCCAAAACTTTGGTGCACTCTGGTGTTATCCATTTAGTCTGAACTCTCCACCAGGCAGTGGTAATGTATATATATCCAGCATCTTCATCTTATGCACGTGTACTATTGCTCACCTTCTCGTCCTTGGCCTTTGACTGGAGGAAAGTCGGGTGCCGAAACTGACTTCAGATATTCGGATGAAATCCATATATTGTACCCAACTCTAAGGGCGAGGAAGTAGAGGAAATCAGTGGTCTTGAAACACCAGATCAAGGATTTAGGAGGAAAAGACTTCTGGAAATCTGCTGGTAGCGAGGACTTCACATCACTAGTGCCGATGTCATCGACAGCAATTCTCTGTCACGAGGCGTAAATTCCAGCTGATTTCGAAGCTGGTTGTTAATATAAGTCTTTTCTCGAAATAACGTCCGATTTGTTTTCAGTTTTATTTAGAAGTACATAACTTCAATAAACTTAGTGGAAACCTATGCCAATAGATGTACTCTTTCCAAAAGTTTTGCAAGGAAATATGGAGTGCTGTCCTATATAGGTTAATGAGATAACAGAAAAAAACTCATTATTTGGTTCTAGTGTATTCTAATCCAATAAATCCACAGTAGAAATTTTTTTATATATACTTAGCATTTTTATTTGATTTAAATAATAAGTCTACTTATTATTTGAGTTTATGGATAATTATTTTCTAACTTGAACGAAAATGTAAATATTATGTGTATATACATAAGAAAAAATAATATATAAATGAACGAAGATCAACTATACATGATTCTCAAAAAAATAAAATGATAAGGCTTATAATGATTTTTGCTGTAAAGTATTGGGTAATCTCTCACATCAATATGTTAGAGTCAGTGACTCAATGGAGCCTATAGTTGATAACTCTAAAGTTTATTTTAGTCAGTTGCATAAATACACATCCACTCAATGCGCCTCATAAATTTTGTTCATTGGACTTTTATTTATTTAAAAAATTTTCTTCGGTCGATTTACGACATTTGCTGCCTCTCCACTGGTTGCCGTCATTACTGCTTTACAGTATAGGAACATAGGTGGATCCTTCACATGATGGATAATAACAGTAGTCCACATTTGCAATATTTCCCAAAGCAAGTCTATCATGACCCCTCTAATTGATATCTACCATCCTCCATGATCACAATCTTAAGATATCTCCAATAGAAGACTGATTATCTTTCGCAAGATAATGGTATACGCTGCGAATTCGAAAAGGGAAAGTCTACCAATTTTAAAGATCCTCGAATATCAGTTGGAGACAGGTCAGCTCAGAGACGGTCAATCCTAGTAAACTTCCTTCTTTCGAAGTTCATTGATAATGTAAAAAAAATAATATAGTGCTTTTAATTTAAAAATCTCAAAATGATAGGAAACGTTCATGTTGACTATGCATCTAGAAACCAGAATGTGAAAGTCATCGTCCTGACACTTAGGCCTTGCATTTTACATATTATGATACCCAAACACAGCCGTCTTCAGTCTCACATAATCGAGGTTCTTATTCGTGATTTGACCAATCGCTCGCCAATTGTACGTGAGCAGATTTTGCGCGGAGATCGCGTGTTTGTCATGTGTTTCTGCATAATATAAGATCGTTCAACAGCAGAGTTGTTGAAATATTTACGATGTAGTAATTGATTATACACCAGGGCTGCCAAAGCAGGTAAAGATTCCGGATCCCCTCCTTCAGGATTTGATGTCAGCATAAATTCCGCCCGTGGACAATATAGAAAATATTATTTGATATGACGAGGAATCTCCGAGACCCACCACAACCTGACTAAACATCATGCATCAAATGTGGAAACTAAACCCTTCAATTCTCACGCTTGTTCCGTCCGAAATTCGCACGAGCACTTAAGCCCTGGAAATACTAGTGCACATTGATTCGGGGGCACGATAACCGCGTCCCTGTATGTGCTTTGGTTGTTCCAACTTGAAATCATGAACCATGTTTGTGCAGTTCAAGGCGCGCGCGAAGAATCCATGCTCAACATCTGCAATTCTGAAGGTAGTAAGAAAGACAGAACGAGGGTCCACAGTCGCCGGACGGTAAAACCTTGCCCTCCTCGGTGAACTCTCCACGTGTGAACGTCACATTCTATTCCGATATTTGCACGAACCTCGGACGCAAATACTGCCAGGGGAGCTGCGGTGGAGATGCTGAGCAACTGGAAATAGAAGGTCCACCGGATTTCTTTCGCAGTCGTGTTAAGGCACGGCGTCTGAGATCTTTACAACGTGACCATCTAAAAGAGGAAAAGGCGAGGAGCCTTACTTCCTCAAGGCCCTACATCAGTGGCTTTGTCCTCGTCCCCTTCAGTACACATCACTAAGATCCGCCAGGCATGGATCATTCAGCGCTGAAGTCTTCCAGAATCTTCTTTCATCACCTTCAACTCGACGTACCTCAGTTTACCAATCTAAGCAAGAGATATGCTATCCTTGACAATCTGCGGCTTAGTCGGTGGGTACTCAACCATTCAGATATACGATATCGAACCCAGAAGAGTTTCTGTTCTGATCAAACTGACTCCTCCAGAGAACCATTGCATGTTGGAGACCAACAACCAGACAACTCAACAATGTCAACATAAAATATGATTGGAGAGCATCGAATATAATTTCGAATTGCTCAAAAAATAAAACGATATCAGAAATGTAAATTTTGAGTAAAATTTAATATCTGAACATTTTGCTTCAGATTCTTCTCACGTTCCTCATGAATCTCGAAATATCAGAAACAGAGAGCAAATCGATTCAGAATGATTATTTTCTAATTCCTGAAAAAGAAAACCGAATTAGATGCTTCAATTGCCCATCCACTTTAACCCTAACGAGTCAGAGTTCTTGCAAATTGATGAGGAAGAATTCTTTGTAGAAAAGAAATTCATACCAGGCAAAGAAGGAAGGGGAAAAGAGTATAAAACTTCAATTTTGAACATCTTCAACAGTTTTCGACTCTTACAACCTTACCAGCAGATTAACACTGAAGTATCTTCCTAAGGAACCATTTAAACTTTACACTATCATGGGCTAAATTGTAATTGCGGAGAAATTCAAAGAGCAAATTTATGATAACCACAGAATTTTGTGATGTTCGTTTACAATATAATAAAGGAATGAACCTACTTATGCTACAAAAAGTTTGTACTAATGTTTGGTTTGGTGTTGCAACATCGTGTTGGAGCAGAATTTTCCTAGCCCGTTATGCGAGTAGATTTTGGATCCTTGTGCCTGCAGAGTGTTATGCAGACAGATAGATGTACATGTTTTCGGGTTTGAACGTTGTGCTTCATTTCATACTCCGCAAGCTGGAGTGCTGCACAAGTGCACAACCTCAGTACAGCAGACTTCAACCGTGCATCAGACGAATCCAAAATGTCACGATTTTTATACTTACGACTTAGATCTTTATTGACTCTAAGAAATTTTTTCAAGCACGCAAGTTCTTGGTTAGGTACTCAGGAAGAGCATCACAGGCCTCTGAAGCTGCACAGCAGACTTTATATACTGTCTTATCTCGATTCAGTCGTTAAAGGACACCATATAAAACGGCGATCACTTGCACCTGAACCATAGAAACGCTGTCAGAATGGTAGTTCTGAAAGTGAAGGAGTTGCACGACTGGTAAATCTTCAATTTCCAAATTTTCATCCTGAAAGGGCAACGCCAAGGCTATCTCCTTCCCAAAAGTAAAATTTGCTTGTGTTTGCGCGAGTGCTATTCCATGATCATTCATGTTCATCAAAAGGGCTTTAATAGTTGTACTGTAGTTGGACAGAGACCCTCTTAGTACACAATACACCGGAGAACAGCATGAACCTCCTCGAAAGACAGTGACATATTAAGTGATTAGGTGAATTGGTATTGACATCTTAGGAACTAATCAAGCCCTTACATCACATCATCTTCTAGAGGTGTGTATTAAGTTTACATTTTAGAACGACATGAGATGACATATCGAAAAACCTTCAAACCTTGGAGGTACTTCCAGAATATTGTATATGCCTGTACAGTTACTACAGTCGGAGTTCAAGGTGGAGCGTAACGAACGGTTCAAAATTAATCGCGAAATGTCCTCGACAGAAGTGCTCGAGTATCCAGGACGAGCACACTCCTCGGCAACCCGCTTCTTGTGAGCGTTTCTTACGTACATGTACAAGCGAAACGTGCTGTTCTTACGGAACGACGTGAGGACGTTAGTTCCAACAGACTGAGGCAGTTAGATGCATCACAGGAGCTAAGAATTTGACTTGCCTGTGGTTAGAAGATGCTCGCCCATGTTCCTTTGTGATTGCTGGAAGCGATACTGATAACGTCATGTGTCGTTGAAGAATTCTGTGGCAGGAATGTTACTGGAGCAACAGAAGACATATCGGTTGTTGCTGTCTGCTAGCGAAGCCGACGCAATCACAGCGTTCTTCACTACGCCATGTCATTGAGCTGCAGTGGTGCTTTCCCCGTAAGGCCTGCGCTTGTCATGAAGTTCTTTCCTTGTCATCATGTTCCTCACCTTTTAGACCTAGAGATTTCTTAGCTGAGCAGATGGAATCATGTCTGTCGCAGACTGCATATCGAGATTCAGACAATTGGCAGGTTCGAAGGAGAGTATCCTCAAAGCTGCTCAGTGGTAGCTAATAACCTGGCCATCCTGAGAGCCAGAGTCAAGAATCTAAACTCTAAACAACTGCTGTGGCCTGGCTCGGCCCCTGTCTGCATTCTGCATCTAAGTCATTCCGTGCACATGCTTCAATAACATCTGCTCAAAATATAGCATCGCACGCTTCGTTAGGTGGATCCTGAAGAATGATATTTATTTTTTTGATTTTTCCAAATTCCAAATCTGTAGGTTCCCTGGATGTAAAAATCTGAACATACCTTGTCTCATTCAGAATCTACTGTTTTTGATTCAGAATCGGAGATTCTTAATAAAAAGTGAACCAGCAAGTCCAAGCCAGAGGAGAAACTCCTCTGTCATTTTTATTTGGCTTCAAACCCACCGAAGGTAATTAAGGGGCTACATCATTGTCGACCAAAATCCAGATTTGTCCACAACAGCAATAACTTCTAGTATGTCCTGAATTAATACACCCTAGAAAGAAACTCGCTAACCCTTTGTGACGCGTTCGATAAAACGTGACACATCTCAACAGCACTGACAGGCAGAATGATGATATAATAGAATTTGATGTATTGTACGAGCCATGAATGCAAATAATCGTGATTAGCTTAAAGTATACACAATTGTATATTCTGTGTCGCCGAGGAACAATTTTCCTGCTATCGAGTGCAGAGACGTTTGTGAGGCAATGATATCTCAGAAATTTTGAAGGTTATTTGGATGACAGATGAAACCTTCACCCAGACAGACGACAAACCTCTCAGTATCGGTTATCAATTAACTCTCTGACCACTGCACGATCTATGTCCGCGACTTTTCTCAGATCTGGTAAGGAAGATTGTGATGATTCTCTTGAAAGAATGAACTAGGGTTTCCAAAATTCTCCCGTTTATAAGAAATCTTGAAATGGAGGTATAACGTCTTGCCTGTCCACGTGGTTTTTAATGCAACGTTGTAAATAACATTGAAGAGTAGACATGCATGAGCATCTGAATTGAAGATCTAGATATATCAATCACGAGAAGAGTCTCAAACTTACCAATTCGAACATAACAAACAGAGAGCAGTCTTCTGATTTTATATGGTCCATATCTCCTGCTTCCCATGGCCATGAGCTCCTGTGTTGCGTTACCGGTGGTTTAGGTTAGCACATGACACTTACGTTCTTAGTTTTGAAACACCCACGAAAAATGTACATCAAGATCGACCGGAAAACCATCAGAAGATGTTCCGATGTTTCAACATATGCAAGCCTCTTGATTTCCAGCTCTGAACGGCATCTCAAACTGTGGTGGAGCTCATTGTTCAGTTTCGAATAGGAGAAATATTCTTTTTCGCAGTAAATGGGCACCTGAATGTAAAAACATCTGAACTATTGTATGCGGTTTCTTTGCTCGTCATACAGGTGGAGGACAGCCGAGGAAAAGGCTCGTTGATCTTCAAAACTTATAAAGACCTGCCTCATATATAGGTTGGTTCCTTCTGCGTAAATTCACTTCCATGCCACATCGTTCATTCTACATACTGTAAACACAAAGACAAAAGTGAGGAGGAGAAAGTTCACGTAAACATACCATTCAGTACCAATTCCTATATATAAATCAGGTGACTACAAAGTAATACAGTAAAAAGGTGGGAACACCCCCATCAAATTCTACGTCGAATGGATGCAAATGAGTATCATGGGGCTAGACCCGAAGGTATGTATACAAGGTATCAGTTGCATAGCTCTAAAGGTGGTTGAATTCTCCTTCTATTGCTCTATTCATATATGGTGTATGTATTGGGTCCTTGAACAATATCCTACTACTTCAGCTGTTGGAGTTAGATATTATGAATGTTAGATTCAACGGGAGCCGAGGTATCATTACCGCAATGTCCGAAACCTTATGAGGGGGACACCAAATAGTTTTGCAAAGAAGATAGGAAGACTCATCAGGAAGAATCCAGTGCGGTCGAATCCAAAGGGATAAGATAGGGCTGAGGCCCAATATTGGGGCAATGTGGTAACGCATCTTAGCCATAGGGAGGTTGCCATCTGAGACCATAATCTCTTTGGTTGGAATAGCGAGCATTTCCAGATTCTAATTGCTTTTCTGTTTGGATGTTCTTTACTTAAAGTAACGCGATGCAATAAAACCACACAGCGGAGACACTTTACATTTTGGGTTGGAAAGCATCAGAGGACAAGGCTCTTAGTGTTGTGAGGGACCATGTCGTGACATATATCGAAGCACCGACAGTGGACTGATTCTTAGGTTTCAGAGCTATCAGAAAGTGCAAAATTTCGTGAAAGGATCACGTCTTGAATTTTAGTGAAGGCTATGGACTTCAGTCGCAATTTTTCTGTAGTCTCAGTGAGCGCGTATTACCAGAGAATTCCATAAAATTCGACTAAGAAGGCTGCATAAGGCTACAAACAGCAAATCATATCCAGCAACGACGTCTGCAAGCAGTAGATATTCGACAGCTCTTATCACGCTATAGATATGAGTTCTTGCTACCAGGAACTGTTACATTCTTTACAAAGACACATCCTTTGATCTGAAACTGCATTAGCATGAAGCACCCTTACTTCCGTCAATATCTTTGAAGGGAGTAATGGTGCTACATGCTAGTTGACTGAGCAAATTCTCGGTTATAAGCCCAAAATCTGTTAGGGAGGCCTGCCACAAGCTGTTTCGAATGATTGATCAAAATCTTAATCAGTGTAAAAAGCATGCACTCATGAATGATTCAGCGCAAGGCTGAATGAAAGGATAGGAGACCGAGAGAGGGACCTAATGTGGAACTTGAGTGCGATTTTACTTCTAGAATGCAATCAATATACTTCAAGAGTACATCTTCGATTCTCTAAGTTGAATGTGTTCTTCACCATCGCGATAAGGCTATTCCTGAAAATTTGAATTTCAAGCAAGAAGGTTTACATCGACAATTGTGCTTGAGATGCAGCGGAATCACGTCTATGAAAACAAGTTGAGAATCATACGTTGATCAGATATAGAGAACGTCCGCAGGATAATACTCTCGGACTTTCCTGCATACGCAACCTCTTTCCCGAAAATTGATGATCACGTTGAGTGACTGCGAACTCATTCGATCTAAGTCATAGCCATAGTCTATGAGTATGTTGAATAAATTATGCAAATTAACAGAAGGAGCAAAATACTCAAAGTTTGCGCTCTGAGTGATCCGTATGGACATCTTGTCGGCATCATACACAAAGTGAGAATTCTCCATGACATACCAATTTCTGAGATAGAATACAGAGAAAAATCCCACATAGAATATCCTTAGAATCCAAGGAAGATTGGGGATGGTGCATTTCAGGATCAGGCTCTCGTTTCATTCCTGATTCTCATTCAACCCGGGAAGATCATGCTACTCTGTGTCGGATCGGTATCCAGAGAGATTCTGAGAGTTGTTGAGTTTTTTGGATGTATCGAATAGCATCTGCCACTAGCACCGAGGCGGATACTTGACCGTTCTCAAGTACTAGCGGGTCCCAAAAATTTAGAAAAAAGAAAGTAAATGCACGGTGCAAACAAGATTCTATACGGCAAAAAAAAAATGTACAGTAATAAGTTGTGTAGCTTCAGACGGTAGAAGATCTAGCTAAATACGCATAGCGAAGGCGCGCTCCAACAATTATTATCCAACATCATTGCTCAATCTGCAGCTGCAGTTGGCTTAATGCCCATCGACGATTTCATTTGGTGCTGGTGACTTTGCATAGGTGCTAGTGCACGAATGCGTGGCCCTGAACCACCACCTGACGCCGTCGACCATCAGGTATTTGCTGACTTTCCGTGCACGTGAAGTCTAGCTCGAGAGACAACACGCCACAAAACAACCTGAGGTTAAATCTCCACAGTACGTCAATCGGCAAAGTGCACAACGTCCCGAGCAAGAAGTTTTTGAGATGGTACATACTACTATGAGAAGGAGCTAATAGAGATATAATTCTTCACAGTAGCCTGCGACTTCAAGTGATCTACCGGGTACACTCTCACGCCGAAGCAGCAGGACGTGCAAGTCTGTACGTGCATAGCCTCTAGTGGACAGCATGTTTCTTATGTGCTCAAGCTTGGTTAGGACCTCCTGCAGCTGCTGCTGGTGTTTTGGTGCATTTGGCGATTTCGAATTAATAAGGGGTGAGTGCTCTTTAAAAAACAATCCGTGGGTCAATGCACAACTAACAGCAGTACTATCTCGCCGTCTTCTCGGGCCTTCTTAGCCCTCCGAGTCATGATTGTGGTGGACAAGGATTCGCAAGGCCAGCATTTGCTTGAATGAACTTCGTTTCGCTTAACAAAATAATGATTTCCGATCTCTAGTTTGGTAACCAGCAGACCTGATGGTCTGCTGAGGACAGTAACTTATACAAGAGACTCTTCCGTATGCAGACGTTGGAATAATGTCGAGGTTGCCGATGCGATAAGCTGGGTATGCAGAGGTTGGAATAATGTCGAGGTTGCCAATGCGATAAGCTGGGTCCACGGGCCGTGTAGTGCTCGAGGTTATTATTCTGAAAATAGTATGACATATATTGAACAAGAACTAGCGCCAACCGAGACCAATCCTCAGTTATCTAATTGATACTCGTCTTATTCGTGAAGATATACAAGTACACGTACCTGAAGACCAACACATTGGATCCTTGGATGACGAACAGAATAATTGCTGTGGACTAATACCAAAAATCTCAAACATGGTCCAAACCTGAATCTCTTACAATTCTGGATCCAATTTCCTTCTCTTTCTTTGGCAACGTGGATGAGGATTCTTGCTTGTGAATGCATCGCAAACAGACGTAGGCAGAGCTAAAATCACCCTCCTGTTGCAAGCCGGTCCTCTTCTTCTCTGCTTAACCGCAGTGGACACATAATGAACGGTCGATACGTTGTACTGAAGGCGCTCATACATGCGAAAAGGAGATACTTAAATTTATATGAGCACAATGCCGGTGCCGTGCCATTCTCTATTTCACTGTGTTTGCACATGATGGCCGTACTTCCACTGTGTGGAGACACTCTCTTCGGTCTGATCGTCAGACTAGCAAAATATAAAAAGCCAACACCCAAGTTCTTTAAGAAAAATCTCGGAAGTGACAGGAAACACCAGATGCTGGCCATTGGAGGAAAGCTGCTGTTGTCAAGGTAACCGGAGATAGGAAATCGATAGCCTTCGTCCGACTAAGTCGGCTTACTAGATCGTTGGTGATATTTTCCTGCACCGCAGAGTGCACTCTAGTGGCTGTGCATGACCCGGGGAGGTCCCGCACAGCCACTAGAACCTGGCTGTAGTGCATGGCTGGAAAGCTTGCGCCATGTCCACTGATGATCCTATCGATGCACCGCCAGAAACCTTACCGGACTGAAATGATCTTGAACCAGCCCGCCCGAGCTGCGGCAGAAAAGAAACACACCTTCGTGAACGAACCGGTTGGTTCAACCAGTACACAATCTTCTGCACGCACCTCCACTGGTACAATAATGTCGAGAACGGTGCGAAATGCATCCAAGGATTGCTCTAAATATTCCTCGCGACTTATGAGAATCGTGAACGTTAAGAGTTCCTCGGAATAGTGGTGCCAGTTTATGATTATGACTAGGAGCTTTCTGATCCATCCTCCAAGACCACAGAGCCCGACGGCAAACGTGGTGGGACCCAAGAGCAGCCGAGCTCAGCCATCCCAAGAAACCGAGCGAAATTTAAAGGCCTTGTGGCGCTCGCTTCAGGACGAGCTGCATTCAGCTTTGCGGGCAATACTTCTCATTGATTTGGGCAGAATGGACGACGCATGGAGAGAGAATCTGGAAAAGGCATTCCTCTTGAAGGCCGAGTGATGGGGCTGCGTGCACGAACTTACAAAGCGTCGAGCTAGAGATAAAGGAAGAACAAAGAACGAAGTCGATGGATGGATAAGTCGATGGACACATCCAGTATTGCTTGAGGAACATAATTCGACGGCTCTTATTTACTCCACAACAAAAAATCTGAAGATGATAACGCCCGTGTTACCATCTCGGAAATACAGGAGAATTCGACACGGGGTCAAATCTTCGAATGTCTCCGCGATATGTTTCTCGAAGTGCAGGACATCTCCTGTCCGGAAAAAGGGAAAGGAGTTGGGAGCTCGTCCGCTGCTGTCTGATGGGAGGATCTATCTTTTCGAATTCTTTTTGTCAACTCCACCATATCCGAGGCAGCACTCGATGTCCAGGGCAAAACGGCACTTTCTCCAGTTGCGGCACATGGACACACATGCACACATGTGGACTGAGTCTGCAATGTCCTCGCGACATGATTGCCTCGATCGAGCAGGCGAGCAGTTCTGCATGAGGCCCCAGAAAAGGGGAGAAAAGTTTTCAAGCTTCTGGTGCTGGAGGCTCTGAGCTCGGGAGCTCCAGAGCCTTTAGAGCCTCCAGGGCGAGAGAGCGCAAGGACCGAGTTTCGAATAATTGCAGCCCGATGCCCTGTCAATTGTACATCTCTCAAAACCTCAGGACCCAAATGATAAGAGCCACCAGATTCGATGTATAAATTCATATGAACTCCGAAGGTTCATAACATTCGACAACGGAGTTTCCCACTATACAGCGAAGGGTTTAATACTCAGAATCTGCAAAAGTTATGTCAACTCTTTAGAGAGGCTTGACAACGCAGAGACGATATATTTTTTGTTCTGAAGAGGAAACGGGGAAGCACGCGGGTCAGGCTTTCTAATGGTGCCCCACAAAAGTGTTCTCGTGCTACATCGGTGCCGATGAATACGTTTTTATATGTTAGATTATTCAGTGTCGATGACTGTAGTGGCCAACACTTCTAGTTCAGTACTCGTTCTGAGTTCTGGTTTGAAGTGAATTCTCCTTCAGTCAATCATTACTTGCGTATGGTTCTGCACTTTATTGATGGAAAGAGCTTGATAGTGGTAGAAAATTGGTCACCAAGTAACGTCATGGGGGCCAAAGTCGAATATACTCACTAGGTCGACTGTGATCCGTCGGGAACAGGCAAAGGAGTACGTTTGCAATACCAAGCTACAAGTACGTTCTACCACGTACTGGCTGCGTGGCTACAGTTGTTCCATAATTATCCGTCTGTATCCACGTTACTACGCATTGTTTCATCCGCTCGGTCAAGAAATCGTGATGTGGTCACTACGATGTTCACAACTTTCCTACGTTGCCATTCAAGGGACATGCACTTCCGACTCTCCACAAGAGTAACAAATCATCGTAGTGCCGGTCTGCTGGAGGGCGAAATTGATCGAAGAGTTTCTGTTCATAAGAGATCTCGATGTCGCAAGGCAACAGCTCGACTTCCATCAAATGTGAACTACCAAAAAGCCTCAACCATCTCAAAGCGCACCACTTTTTTGTCACACATTGAAACCAAGCATTGAAGTCATTATTACTACGCTTTCAATCCCAGATAGTTTGTTGAATGGGCAAGTCCTCTCCACGTACTCTTCCCCATGCGAAGTAGAGATCCAGGCCTACAGGTTTGATGTCTACGAGAAAGGACTCCAATGTGTTGCTGAACTATGCGTCATCACTGCGTTCAGATATGGTGACTTCGTAATACATCTTATACCTTACATGGCCTGTAAGCAGTAAGAAAAAGCTCCAAATTGAAGATTGTGAACAACTTACTCATGAAAATTTCCTTCCTCAAAGATTTGGATATCCAGGTTTCGCCAAAATAGAAATCTGTGATAGATATCTGTGATTAAACTACAAAACCTAGCTTCTTCGAAACAGCTAAAAATAAACTGCGTGGATTTCGGACTTTTTCCAATGGGACAAGTTAAGCATGAGATACCAAATCCTAATTTATTAAAGTAGTAAAACCATTTCTTAGATCATCATCGAGGTTCGAATTTTGATATTATTCTGTTTGTAAGCGTGACTGCAGATTTGGGGTTGGCTTCGAAATTTCATTGCACAGTGAATGATAACAAAAGCCTTGTCTTTGACTCTCCAATTATATAACATAAAAGAAACCTACAAAAGTATACCATGCACGCATGGCATATGTTGTTTTATATGCAGTGACATGCAAACAATCTACATATGTTTGACTTGAAGTACAATGGTGGATACTGTTTTTACCTCATGGATTTCAAGTGTTCTGTTCATGTCATTCTGATCGACAACAATATAGCATTAACAGGTTTAGACGAAGTATGTACAGCAGGTTTATCGGAAACATGTAATTTTTGGATACTTGTTTTCAAAAGTCCACTTTTCCAATACTCGAATGAATGAATCCTGGCCAAACAAATTTTTGTAGTCTTCTCAAGAGTCTTTGGCGCCCTACCAATTTTGAAATTACCAATTATGATTACGTTTAGGTTTCAAACCGTATACGAATGTCTTATATGTATGCCATGATATTCTATACAGTTCATGGTGACAGAGGTTTTACCTTAAATATGGATAAGGAGATACAAAATATAAATTTATACAGATGAGATTCAAAAGAGATACATAAAAAATTATCAAAAAGCTGATGTACTGAAATATTAAAGGGCATAGGCGCAAGCATTTCCTTATACCTCAGTTCATGATGGATTATTGTAATCCATGTTCGAATTAATTACGTTTGAGAAAAGTATTCGATGTCCTGAAATTTGAATAAATCTAGTGAGAAAACTACAACCTTGACTTGAGTGTTCGATTGAAGAATTTTACTTACGACTGGAACCGTGATGATTTGTACATGGGAATCTTCTTCGAATGAAACGAATAGGTCCAAATGTGAGATATGGACCGAGGTACAACGTGAACCACATGTGCGAAATTCATGCGAATGTCGATCTCGGTTTTACTTGGTGAATTCCATGCCCTGTGTTCGACAAATATGGGATCATTCCCATACTATGCCTAGTGATGACGTTCCCACCCTCCAGAGACAGCTGTACAGCGGTCGTGGTGAACATTCTATACTTCTGATGGCTCTGAATTAGATATATCATTTCAGTTCGTCTCGCGCACTCTCACTGACTCTTCCAACTTTGCATCTCAGGGTGTTCTATGCTCATGATGGTTGTTGACTCCCAAAAAATGCCTATCATATCATCTTGTTCTTACTCACAGCTTATGTCCTCAAGCAAGTTTTCAACTAAAAGCTAGTAATATTTGGGATATTGCTTAAGCAAATTAATCAGGATTTAATTTCATCTTCCATTCACTGGAAAAGAATGTTTTTTTCCATTCTCGACCTTTACGTGACATAAAATACATAAATTAACTTCCGGTCCAACACCCATTCTCTGATATTAGACATGAAACCAAGCCATTTGATTTAGTCAAATGTCACATGAAAGATCATCATGCATTCACGTCATATGTATTTGGGTTATAAATTGGTAATATAAAAAACTTATGGAAGTACCCCTCCAATAGGTGCACAGAAGAAGGGGTTAGGATGGAGCTAGGCCCCAAAATCTTTACAATGAACAATAAGTTATAAAATATCTACCCCCTTAAATTGAATTAATTAAGATATTGTGATGGTTTTAAACCGAACATATGGATTGTCCGAGCTTTTCCTCTATGTATAAAATACAGATTTACGTTCTTTTAAATTTCGTGATATCTAATGTATTATCACATGGTAGATTCTAATGCATTTCTTCGAAAGAATCTCAAGAATATTTTCAAAATGGGAAATTTTTTCCCAAATATCTCTATGCCTAGAGTTATTGCTTATTTGTCTATCCATTTGTTACCTTAGATCACGAGTATTCAACCTATCATCAAACGAAACAAATGATTCTGGATTTTTCAAATTATATTATATATAAAATCCAGGTTTACAACATATATTATCTGAAGACTTTTATCTCATACTTTCAAACCAAGAAGTAAATTGGACATAATTGACATGGATTGCTACATTTGAAAATCTTGTAATCATGTGGGTTATGTAACGTGATTTTGTTAAGGATGTTATGTGTTATTATTTCATTTATAGATACTACTCTGTAATATTTCTTAAATGAGCATCGAAGCATATAAGTTTCCTTGCACGATCATATCTTCATGTGGAAAATTTGATGCATAATATAGTTGAAAAAAGGATAGGTGATACAAGTAGTTAAAATGTTATACATATAGACTTGTGGAGGCAAGAACATAGATAAGAAATTGTTTCCTAGTTTGATTGACGAGATTTAGCAAGAGACACGTTAGCCATATCTGAAATTTTCACATAATGGTTTAATTTAGTGCAATATGCTTATAGAAAATTTTTTTTGTCTTTTTCCTGCTAGCACTTAGAATTCCTACATTCTATCCTAAATAATCAATATAGCACTAAGTTATGCGATGAACGAGTGATTTCTGAACATCATCTTCAACTCTTTATCCAAGGTATGCCCTAGACCAGGTCTGTCTTTTTTGAATGAAGGTAATTTGTTTTACTGGTCATACGCCACTTGAAAATTGTTTTCCACTTAATTGAAGCGGTCAATCGCCATGTGGGAATGACTAATTGTTTTTGACTAGCTACACGCAGACCTCTAAAACGTAAATTTAGTGGAAATCATAAAAGCGTCACGGATGAGAATGATCTTTTTCGATGGTTTCTATACTCATTACTTTTGAAGGAGAAACCGATCTTCCTATTGATTTTCATGATATTTTTTGCTCCTCACAAGTTCCATGAATTATTTTGAGTACTATTTCATGATTGATTTATCTCGTGATTTGTTTATGATCCTCCAAGATCAACCCCATGTTCAATTTTTTGTGTAACAAGTAGACAAAATCTGGTTAGTACACCAATGGGTTACACATGGTTGTGGTACTAGATCTTACCGATACCTGATCAAGTTGAAGGTATGAAAACCTGTTGGCTTTTCATTCATGTCAGACTAGAATATATGACATTGATTCAAGACTAGTGATGGAGAATTAGAAGTGAAAGGTAGACGGAGTCAACTTAGGAACATATGAAACATGAAACTCAAATGAATCATGAGATTTTTTATAGTCAAGATGGGAAGCAAGAAATTTTGAATGTGTGTACAATCCAATTCAGAGAGCTGACACTTCAAAATCGAAAGAAAGATTTTGATGGGATGGACTCATCAAATCATACCAAGAGAAAACCAAAGAAGATCATGGAGCTATACCTTTCTTGGAGTCATGCCCCGAATGTTCGAATTCTAATTGTTGTAATTAACTCTTTCATAGATCTTAAGCCTTGCAACATATATAGAACATAATATACTGGATATGACGTTATTTTCTTCATGAAATATCTAAAATTGAAAAAATTGAATTAAGTACATAGAATTGCATATTCACGATCCATGCGTTCAAAAAGTATAAGGTTACGTTACAAATGATCCGTGACACCTAAACTTCTCTCCTCTCTCAATTCTTCCACGCTCTCCAATGATGCCAGAACCTAGATACGCCAGTGGTAATGATATGTTATCAAGGATGCATTCATTGGACACGCTAAAACCCGAGAGCAGTAGCTCCATATTAAATCACATCGTAATGCAATGCTACGTTGTTATTACATAGTTCGACCACGATAGAATCACATTGAACAATATGATTATCTTGGGGTCTCCTCGCGCTAGATTCAGGTGAATGTATGCCAGATTAGTGGCATAATAACTTCTTGCATGAGTAGTAGAGATCTGAGGCTACAATCCCCCAGTAAAATGGACCAGGTTGATGTACGTTATATTCGTGGCGTAATGAAATCTTGCATGAGTAGTAGCGATCTGAGGCTGCAAGCACCAGTAAAATGGGTCAGGTTGATGTACGATCATTCGAAAGCAATAATGCGAAGAGGCCATCTTGCAGAGGGGGACTTGTGATTTGACATCCTGATCTGCCACCTAGAATTTGCTATACCATCATGAGACTTTTAAATGAAGCAAATTGACCGCGTACGCGATACGCACCAAAGCTAGACTGCAAGCCAAACTCCTGAATACTCCGAAATGGCAGTCTGCATTAATTACTCCATCTGAATGCTCGTCACTTTGAGTATAGCCAGCCACTCGTGCAATATAAAATTTCTTACGGCCATAAGAGCTCCATTCAAGTGTTGCGCTTCGTAGCTTGTAAGCTTCAGGTTGTGAGTGAACTCAAATGGATCAGAATAAATAGGTCGTTGCTCGATGTTCATGAAGCTCTGAGCAAGCGCGTTGTCTCCCGGAAACAGCATGCGTTCCGGTTGCTTCAAGGCTTTCGCTGCCACAGCGCTGGTAAGCATGCTATAAGAGGAGAGGAGGTCTCCGTAGGGCGAATTTGGCTTGCTGCAGATTGTTAAACATGAAGCGGGGGGCATAGGCTCAAACGCATTCTGAGAATGTCATGTCCTCCATAAGCGCTTGCTGAGAGCAATCGTACGTAGAAAAATCGGACACAAGGCTATGCTGGTCAAGGACGTAGTTCAGCTCCGAGGGAGCTCGAGAGGAGAAGAGATGTCGGTGGTAGATCTGAAACAGAGGTTGGCATGCGTTTGGCTGTCCGTGTCCAGTACGCTGCAATTCTCGATCGGCATTGCAATCCTCTGGGCACTAGTCGTGCTGTACATCACCAAGTTCACGAAGGGCTCGAAGAAACCGAGGCTTCCTCCCGGACCTCCTGCATGGCCCGTTGTTGGAAGCCTGCATCTACTAGGACAATTACCTCACAGGGACATGAAAGACCTGGCAGATAAGTATGGTCCCCTCATGTCCTTGAGGCTCGGCTCAGTACAAGCCGTAGTCGTATCCTCTCCTGAGATAGCTAGACAGTTCCTCAAAGATCAAGATCAGGCATTCGCTTCTCGCCCCCTGTTTTCTGGACCCGAGATATTCAACCACAAGGCGCAGAATCTTGCATGGGCGCCCTATGGCCCTACATGGCGCCTGTTGCGTAAGATCTGCACTGTCGAGCTTTTCACGGCCAAGCGCCTCAAGCAGTTCCAGGTAATATGACAGAACCTACCGCTGCAATACTCCAGTTTGGGACTCCCATAAATACGTTTAGAGTCTGCGTTACATACGCTGCACAGGTTTCACCCCATAGAAACGCTCTCAGTCTTCGTTAAATAATCTGCACAGGATTCGTGACGAGTATCAGATTTGTTGACACATAGTAATCTGGAGAATGCCCGGACGCATTGTCGAGTGATTGTATGCATCAGTGCGCAAGTCAATGAGAGTAGCACGTCATTATTCTTCTGGTCTAAACCGACTATGCAACTCATAGAATCGAATTTTTTTTTGGAAAGCTGCATACGGTGTCACCATCTAGAGGTTGAAAACATCCTCGAATATAATCAGCTGTGAGAGAAACGATAGATTTTTAGACGCACTAAGATCTGTTCGCAGCTTAATGAGCGTTATATTGTTGAAAGTGCGTCTTCACCCTTTTCCCTCTGTCATCAAATTTGAGATATTTTAAGGCTAGGGAGCAATTTTTCCTGGCGACATGCATCAAGACCGGGGCGCAGTTTCTGCTCATATATAGGAAGCCCACAATCAAGTAGATCCTCTGTGTCCTACATTTGGGTTTCGGGTTCGCAATTACTGCCAAGTCATTCCTACAGCCAATCAGCTGTCCCAATATAAATCTTGTGGATTACCTCCATTTCTTTAGCTCGTGTTGCATTTGTTGCGGGACCTTGAATCTGAACTTCTGTTCGCAAATTCTAGACATAACAGAAAATACTGAAAAACGTAGGCAATATTGTCCTTGTGTGGCTTCTAGAGGTCATTAACTTACATGAGCGATGTGTCACGGAGTGCACTGCAGAACATAAGGCAAGAAGAGCTTCTGAGCACGATCCAAAATATTCTGGAGTCAGGGCGAGGGGGAAAGCTGGTGAACATGGACGAGCACATGGGCTCACTAACAGGAAACAACATAACCAGGATGTTGTTTCACAGAAGGTACTTCGGCTCCAAGGGGATACCGATCACTGCGCTGGGCGAGGCGAAAGAGTTCCAGCACATAATTCGGGAGCTCTTCAGAATAGGAGGCGCCTTCATTGTGAGCGACTACATCCCCTGGCTCAAAAGGCTGGATCTCGGAGGTTGGCGTGCGCAGCTGAAAAAAATACAAGTCAAGTATGACGCTTTTGTGGGGAACCTCATCGACGAGCACCGGCGAAATGCTAAACCTCTGGCCGAATCGGAGAATTTTGTGGATGTTCTGCTGTCCATTCAAAACAGCGGAGTGGACGGCAGACCCACCATTACAGACGTGCAAATAGGCCAGCTGATTGCGGTACGTGGTTCTATCGCCGTGCCCTCTGTCTAGCGACGTTCGTCCAAGGTCATGAAATCGCGCACGTCAAAAAGTCAGTGGAGTTTTTCGACAACTGGACTTAGCGTTAGGTTGTATATGACATAAAACATCGTTCTTCAATATCTCGCCAGTAGATCACGGGGAATATCCGGGGGTCCATAACTAGATCTGCATGCTTTTGACGTAGAACACCTAGTGTGTGCCCGACTCAGAAACCGAAAGGAACTCTGGTGCAGATTGTGGTGCAGTTTGGACGATTGTACGTGTTTCAATTTGCATCCATCTGCATCCAACCGCGTGCCTGTCGACGGACGGCGATAGGTAAAGGAGCCTTGATTCCATCGTCTGATGAGGGAAAGCTGGTTCGTACGTGCAGGATATGATTCTGGGCGGGACGGATACGTCGTCCGTGGCGATGGTCTGGACGTTGACTGCGCTCATGAAGTACCCGGAAGTGAGGAGAAAATTGCGGGAGGAAGTGGACTCGGTTGTCGGAACAGAGAGGCTGGTGGACGAATCGGACCTTCCGCAGTTGAAGTACTTGCAGGCCGTGGTAAGGGAGTCGTTCCGGTGTCACCCGGTGGGCGCCTTTCTGCTGCCGCACGAGTCGTTGTGCGATACGGTGGTGGCGGGCTACGACATCCCGCGCAACACTCGAATCTTCGTCAACCTCTTCGCCATCTACAACGACCCGCAAGTGTGGCAGAACCCGCAGGCCTTCAGGCCCGAGAGGTTCCTCAACTCGTTCGTCGACGTCAAAGGAGCTCACTTCGAGCTGATCCCCTTCGGCTCAGGGCGGCGGATGTGCCCGGGCATCAACCTGGCCCTTCTCTTCATCGAGCTGACCGTGGCCCAGCTAATCCACACCTGCGACTTCTCTCTCCCGCCAGGTGTCAGTCCCGAAACCGTGGACACCCGCGAGTCTTACGGGCTAACCACGCCCCGAGCTACTCCGCTGCAACTTCTCGTGTCACCGCGTCTACCTTCACTTGTATCATAGTTCCCTCATAATTCTTTTCATGATTGCTTATGCATAATTGTAAATGTATTTCCGATTCCGATGAGAAGAGCGTTAAGGAAATGAGGACCGTACCCGGACCTCCATATTTCACCAATTACAACACCCGGACCCTCCGTATTTCGCCGATTAAAACATTCATTCATAGACTCAATGTGCTTGAGAGATTGGTGGCATAAGTACGACGGCTCTTGCAGTACAGCCGAGCGTATAGGCCTGTCGTGTAAAATCTGCCACCGTATATCGTTCGTGTTTTCGTACCTGATGACGTCATGTTACAAGGCTAGAAATGTAGAAAGCTTGATGAGGACTGCGATAGTCCTCGAGTGGCTGTGTAGACCGGATGCCGTTCTCTTATTTAAAATACACCGTCTTTCAGACGGTCCTGTCCATGAAATAAACGAATTCGACTTTACAGAGGGACTGCATCTTTGGAGACGAGTGAAGGTGAGCATACGGATAGTAGATTGTCTTCCCTCTCTGACAAGTTTTATATAATGTGCTCTCCAGAAGTATTACATACGTCTCTCGTTCCTCACAGCTCTGATAAACTTAATTGTTTTCTGATACGCCAGGTCAAACCCTTTGTTCCAAAGACGAAGCATAACATAAGTAGAGGATCTTCGTGAAACAACCTGGAACACAAGGTCTCACGTGAAAGGTTTGATCCTTGCAGTAGACGTGGTTGTCGCACGAATGGACGAATTGAAAGCCTCTAAGTGAACTTGTGGGGGAAGACCCATTGGCTTAATTTCATATCAGCAATGTGATTTGCATCTGCATCTTCGATATACAACTTTCATGCCGGATATGCTCTTAACTGTTAAATATCACAATCCTTAGTGGATGCAGTACACATAACTACCATAGCGATACACAACAGTCTTACGTAATCTCCACTGCAGCCGCTAGAATGGAGAAAATTTTCTCATTGTCAACCCAAAAATCCGCTTGCAATAACTACGTTTGTCCCTTTCGATCTGAATCAAAAATAAGTTTTCAACGAGAAGATTGAATAATTTTTTTATCGCTAACCTCATAAGTTGAAAAAGTAAACATGAAGAAAACTATCAAGTACATCCAAAAATAACGTATTGTGAATATTTTCAGTAAAATAGACTATACATATAATCAAAAAATAATCGGATCAGTATTTTTTGGAATAAGTCGTGTAGACTTGATGAAAATCAAAATCACAACAAAGAAATCACTCTTTGTTGAGATTCTTAAAAACTAATCCACAGAACTCATTTTTTTCAAAATTAAGAAGAAGAATTAAACATTCCAAATTTATCAGATAGCAGGACTGAAGTATATTATTAAAAATATTAATTTAAATATTAATTTCATTATAAATCATATGATCTGAATAAAAATGTACATTTTTAATTAAATATTAATGAATTTATTTGATGAATATGTCATATATATAAATGAAAATCATTTTAATTAATAATTAATATTTTGAATATTTAATTTTCACAATAATAAAAAATAAATTTAATTTTTTAAGAAACTTGATTGCTTTTAAGTGTTAGAGATAATCCAAGTCATGGAGGTTGTTGAGATACACCACCGTGACGTTGGGTTCAATGTACCATATCAGCTATATCATGCCTTAGGCCGACTTGTTTCTACGTCTCCTAACCTACATATGGCGGCGAGTCTGCTCGTTGCGAAAAACATTTTATTTTTGGGTTTCCGTGAAACTAGCTAGAAGTCAAACCAAATATATTCTCTCGCATACTCTCACGTCTGCAATTTATTTTTGTGATCTTACGTGAATTTGACCAAGATTAGGAAAAATAAAAAATTCATAATCATCCAAAAAAATCCAAACTAATGTAAAATTCAACATCAAGATGGATATGCGGATTAATTACATGAATCTTTAAACAACAAGAGATGCTACAAAAAATTAACAATTTTTTACTTTTACTTTCAAATAAACTTCAAAATTTAAAAACTTTATAATGAAAAGTTCTGGACTCGGAGAGTAGAATTTATTCAATATTCACATACATGGAATGCAACAATACTTGGTGTAACAAATCAAATGTATATGAAAAAGACTTGAGACTATTAGCAATTATTAGTGATTGCTTTGAATTGATATATACAGCAGGTATCTGCATTCCTATGGTTTAAGATTCAAACTAGTATAAATTTTTATTATAAAAGACATGTTTAATATACTTGATTGGAGACTTAAATTTACAGAAATATCGTTTTTCGCGCAATACAAGAAACTTCGTACATGTTGCTTCTTGTAGTAAATGGACTCAGTTGTGCTGTATAGTGAGACATGTAGGATAACCCACCGTGGTGTAAATGAAGAAAAAGGAAAGAGCTGAATCCTATTGAGTGACACATCAACCCCATGGGAGCCTCCACATCTCAAGCTGGGCAGGTAGATGCAATACTTACAGTCAATCAAACGAATGAAGACATATTTAATAAGCTATGCAGAAACAAAACTGGTTAATATAAGTATTCACTCGCTTCTACATATGTATCAATATTAATAATGCTTATGCTTTCGCCTGTTTCTAGTTTTACGCGCTCAATGACATTTGACTCATGAAAAGTTGAGCTGCAGTTCAACGATGATGATTGTCCTCCGTAATCTTGCTTTCCTCTTTCTTTGTCACCTCAAATTCCATTGAGCCCACATGTCTTCAATAGTGGCTTCGGAATCGAGAGCGTCTGGCTGTCAAATTATAGCCAAACTTTGTGGTTGCGATGTACAATCTCATAAGAAGATATACGATTCGCTAGAGCGCCGGCAGAACTCTAGTTGTCCTGTCTAGATAAGGATAGTGCATTCCAAGATGCAACGTTTCATGTCCGGAGCCGAACTACAACGTGGACGGAACTTTCTAAGCTTCGTTCAAGCAGAATAAACAAATTCGCAACTGTTTCCATCCATAGAACTTCCCTTTACTTTAGAATTTTCGATAATCTCTTTCCTGCAGAAAACCTTGAAAATTAGATGAGAAATGTCTACATCTGTCGTACGAGGAGAAAAGATTCAGAGAAGTTCCTTGATTTGGAACATTTATGAGCGTCCTCTTATTTTATTGTCACTGTAATAAACTGGATACCAAGTTGAACACAAAGTACTCACCATTATTGCTGACTGCAGTAACTTTGAAGAGCTGTACCTTTTCAGTTTCATTTTGTTCACAAAGTTTGAATCGTTTGCTGAATGTCCTCCCGTTGCTGGACTCTCTCCCACTGGGTCTGTTCTCCTGCGTGGGTCTAATGACTAGACAGTTTGATTCGAGGATGCCTTGAAACTGGACCCAGGACCGAACCGTCGTCCCTGTTTCGAGACATACCCAAATCAAAGTGTTCAGGAATTAGAAACTAAACAATTTCGACTTTTGTTTTCCAGAATTTAGGAAGAAGCCGAACTGCGAGTCTGGCGAGAGGTGCAATTTTATAGATAGAGAAGCATCTGAAGAGGTGTATCTTTTTTCATGAACCAGCTCAACTGCAGTGTCGTTCCTCCGAGAATCGATATATTTCTCTTGTGTGCGATGATTACTTCAGATACGACCCGCATCTATTCAGGGCCATTTCCTCTGCGGATTCAATCTGGTACCTATTGAGCGAGAAACTGTGGGCCCTGACGTCCACTAAGTAAGACTCCTAGTCTGGAACTGACATCTCCGTCCGAGAAACACCGAAACGTGATGACGCTTGGGAGAAGAAATCTGCCATGGCCAAGGCAAGCTGGATGACCACACCTGCAAAAGAGAGATGATTGAAATGAAAGTGCAATGCGCTGAAAGATTGTATATATAGCAAGTATCCTAGTATCCAGCAGGTTGATCCAACGATTCAAAGACTGTCATGAGTGCTGCCTAGGGGAAAGAGACTCTGTATAAACACGATTTGCGACATTTGCTTCGACATTGTACAGAACAAGTACAGAAAGGACTGAAAGCGATTGTATATATCATCTTTACCATCGCTTATATCATCCATTACAACACGTTTCTAGTTACGGGGTGGGTACCATATGCACTGATGCGTCAATTCAGTCCTTATCATGTGATACAAAGTACATCTGTGTGATAAAAGTTTGTTCAAGTGTGGCGTACGCCAATCGATCAATAACGGAGTTCACTGTTTCTATTTTTCGGTTATTTAATCTTCTAAAGAATTAACTTCAGAATTACATTCTATGCAAATTCATTCTCTAGTTAATCTATATGAAAGTTTTGAATTTATTATAATTGTCCATGTATAGTCAATTTTTAGTATCTTCAATGTACTGTGGAATTAAATCTTTATAATTTAACATACAGTTATATCTCTAATTCATTTATAGAGCATTTGTCATGAAATCGAGTTTTTCAAATTCATTGAATGCAGAGCTGAAATCATTTTCCACTACTACCGTAATCGTGTAGAATTAGAGGAAAAAACTTTAGAGATATAACCTGAACAAACGTACATTCTTGTAGAAATACTGGTTCCGAGATTAATAAACTTCTCCAAATCAGTTGATTATGTTTTCGATGATAAATAAGGTATAAATTCTTTGTATTCTTTTCTGAAAGAAACCTCGACATTAATGAGTAATACATACTTTTATGCTAAAAAGTGAATCAAATCAAAAACCAGTTATTGTAAGATTATGAATATTTAGCATAAAGATTTAGTATAACACAATTTGTCAAATGAAGTCATCGAACCAGTCCAATGATTTCAAAATCTAAAAATATACACTATTTAAATGATATATATATACAATAATACATATAATATATATCGTTGAATTTCAAATAAAAAAAATGGAAACTAAATAAATAGTACTATGGAATCTAGCTCTCCAGTTGTCAAAACTTCAAACTACCGTTAGTGAAGCATTGAATAAATTATTATACGATATCCCTTAGGTCTGTATCTATCTTACAAGCTTATAGATAATCGTGTACAATATTATTTACTTAGAATACCTTTCTCTTCTTGATTACAGAAATTGCTTTAGAAAATGATAGAAAAAATTTATTATTTTGTATTAAAGAGGAATTCATCCTATCTTTTATCATGACGTCGCAAATCATTTCAAATGAAATGTACACTCAACAACCGGGTATCTACCACTGGCCAAGTAGATGCTCTTACTTAGATGCTGTATGCGTTGATGAGAATGGTCACAAAGAATCATCATATGAAACGGGAGAATGTACACATGGCTCCATGTCCGAGTTTGACAGTTAATTCCTCACCATGTCCTAGAGGTACTTGCGGGAAAATACAACCACATGCTCACCTAGCAACCGTTAGCATCGACTGCAGCTACATCTCCTAAATATAAAGTGCGGTTGTATTTCTGCTCCACGTGCTTTCGCAATGATAACTTCTTATCGATACAAATGTAGATCATAACGTGGGTTCTCAGGTATATCACTCATGCGTTGAAGATAGTAGTGAACAGAATGCTTGTATTTCCATGACTTTGGGAGTTACTGCGACGAAGTTTATCCTCATTTATAATAAGACAACCCCGAATCAGGAACATCGGCAGTCAAGATCAATATGACAAATGTCGTTTAGCCTATCACCTTGGAGGTCATTTTAATTAGGCAATGGCAACTCAATAAGTGAAGCTAGAGAACGAGGACAAAAATGTGGGCACAAGACTCAATATCCCTGAACCCTTGCTGTTGGTGCAAAGCACTTCATGTGTCAAAACTGAGATTCTAAGTCCATAATTCTACTTCAGCATAATGCAACAAAACACCGACATTGATCGACTTCAGGCAGATCCTCATCTGAAAAGACGTCGCCAGATGGACTTGCTAGTTGCCGCTTCTGAAGCCGAAGATACTCCAATACTGTATCCTTCTTGGACATCCTCAGAGATTTTGCTAGTTTTGTCTTTACTGCTGATTTCCTCTGCACTAGTTTCACTCTTGTCCTCCATTATGTTTGAAGTTGCCGGTTTGAGAGAGTTGTCTGAGGATGAGCCAGCTCCCTCACATAATGGTGTGTAGCAGTAAACCTCCGTCTCCCTTGACGCTGTGTCTGACTCCCTTATTACCTCTGAGGGCTCCTTTGCGGTAGTCGCCATAGAGTCCTGAGGTTCAGTCACCAAAGACGAGCCCACTTGTGGTGGCTCGGAATAAAGCCAGTTATTGACAGGTTCAGAGGGCTCTCCATTCCTCCGCAGTGTCTTCGTAAGCTCCGGGGACTCGGCATGGACATCCTGCTGCCTCTGCCCAATTGCATTACTCGTGACTGGAGCAAGTCCATCCCGTAATGTGGTTTCAGAACCTAACTTTGCACTTTCCTCTACAAATGTTTCATGCTCCTCGCTCGCCCTTGACGTTCCTTCCATTTGCTCCTTACGTCGGCCGTGTACAACTTCACTTCCTTCTTCGTCTCGATACACACCTGCGCCATCTGCGTACAAGTCATCATTGCGCTGCTGAGCTGAGTCATCGATGTCGTCCTTCATTAGTTCTGTACTCCAGTCTTCATGAAGGTGGCCATCGACAGCTGGAGGATCAGCCTCTCTCGTATCTTCTGCTTGAGATCTAAAACTCTCGACATACTCCTGTGTTTCCTCTGGCCTATTTTCAGCAATCCATTGCTCTATGTGGTCATCCTCCAGAAGAAGCTTATCAATTTCTTGCGAAAAGTCGTATTCTCTGGAGGGAGAAGAACTCCTTGTGGAACCTCTTGCTTCCTTCTCTCCACTGACATGTGACATTGTCGTCCTTCTCAACTCCTTCATCTGAAATTTTTCAACGAATGCCTGGAACTGCTCAGCTTGAGAATCTACGTCGTCTGAAGCTTCAATAGTCAGATCACTCTCATCCTCAGAGGTTGAGCAAAGATCATGTAGAATTTCTCCGTTGGTTGACAGCTTCTCGACTACTCTCGGACCAAAGGCTTGCTCTTCTGTTGATTCTTGTCCATCCTCCGGAAGTTGTCCGTCGGTGTCTTCAGATAATGACGACCCATTAGCTTCCTTGTCAATCTCACTCCAATTCTCCCCTGCTTGATTCGGATTGTCAGAAGAAAACTCGTCATCCATGGAGCTATCTATACCAGCATCTATTATCACAATTTGGGGAACCCTGTCTCCATCTTTCTCCTTTTCTCTCAGAGTGCGAAGAAGCTCTTCGCTAGGCACAAGAAAGTTTCCATTGACTGAAACCAGGTCCGGCATGAGGCGTAACAGATCCGACAACCTTTGGTATCCCACACGTCTGTGATCAAGGGGATAGTTAAATTTACTAGCAAAAAGAGGTTTAAGCCTGACGCCAGCGACGCCTTCAGGATTTTCCAACAACAGTTCACGAACCAATGTTCTACAATCATGAAACATTTTCGGCCAGATCTGCGACTTGGTGAGAGCGCTGGTGTTGGTTTCCTCTACTTGTTCCTCGTGGTAATGGTTGGCTCGTTCTGAGGCCTCTGCGTCAAACTTGAGCAGATGTATCACACACTGGTCGATTCTTGGCCTTGAGAGTCTGACCGAACCTATCGAAGCTACTAAATCCTGCACTCTGGAAAACCCATATCCTTTGGGATCTAGTCTCACACCGAACTCTCTCTCAAAGTCGGGCTTTACTAAGGACAAATCATATCCGGCTCTTTGGTTGCGCCCAACACGTCTGTATGCGTTGTTTACGACTCTCAAAAACCACTCTTCGAACTCTTCAAAGGTGGGATGGACAGCTTGAGTCTCGTTGATAAAAGTGGTGGAAGAAGTGGAAAGGTTGGGAGATGCTGCTGACAATGGCTCCCTGAAATCTGGAGAATCTTGAGAACGTACAGCTGATACATGGACCGTGTCGAGGCTAGGAGGGGGTATCTTTCCATCGGTTACCTTACTACTGGCTCCATTTAAAGGTGTAAGAGACACCACAGTGTTGGGTCCAGTGTGATTCTGAGAAGCCTCCTGTACACTAACATATATTCCTTGTTCTAGGCTAGATTCGTCTCTCGCATTCTGATCAACTTCTTTGTTCTGCAGGACTGATCTAGATCTATCATCACTTCTGCTTTCGTTTCTCAGTAACTTCCCTTCGAGTTGGAAATCAAGATCAACATGGTTCTTACTTTCAACCAGGCTTCCTGCTGCATGCTCCCGTAGATTTTCCGCAAAAGGATGATGAAGTTCGTTAGATTGGGCAACCGAGACCTGAGCTTTCAACTGATCATTCGACTCTGAAACTGAGGCGGAACCGTCAGTGCTGAAAGCATCATTCAGATGTTCCCACTGGATTCCTCCATTCGCCTCGGCCAAGGGCCTGACAATATCTGATATTTGCTTCGAATCTAGATATCGAAACTGCAAAGGTCCTTTCATTCTGATATAGTTTACGGCCTCCATCCTGCATACGATAAATCAATGATATTCGAGCAGTAAGGACCAAAGGCGAAGGATCTCTGGAACATTAGGTACACCAACTCTAATAAGTTCTCGGGTATAATTTTGAGACCAGAACGACCTGAACATTGACTTTGCTCAAAAAGACCAGTAGAGAACTAGCCCCTCGAGATCAGTCCCCGTGAGAAGGTTTTGCACGTTAGATGCTAGGAAGAAAGCGCGCTAATCTGGAATGGATACGCACATGGAGATAAATTTTGAGCATATTCACGAACCAATATGAGAGACTGTTCAAATTTGGCCATGCACTCAGGAATCGAGACGGTCGCAACTCTGTACTAGCATATTGAAAACTCTGCATCCATAGGGGAAGACTCCAACTCACGAACAGATACATAATTTAAGATAATCAGAAGGGGAACACAAGCAGTGAAAAGTAAAGCTTACAGATTTGACGCATTTGAGAGAATAAGGGTGCCCTCGGCACTACTCATGTACTCCTTCAGTTCTTCGCACGCCTTCATCGTCCCACTGGCATCACTCTTTGAAGTTTGAATAACAAAAGAATGACCCCACAAAAAGTCCTCGTTTCTACCATCTGTTTTGCCAATAACTGTTGTTTGAGGGGATGTCAACTCCCCTGGGATTGTGACAGGATCATGTGATACTTCGCTGTCAGCCTTGACCTCCTCACGTCCCAAACTCGAACTGACTGCATCTGACCGGGATACTGCGTTATCAGGGAATTCCCTGATTTCAGCTCCTGATGTCGATGATGCTTCTTCAGAGGTAGGACCAAACAGCCACCTCTTCCATGTTGTCCTCCTATACTTCTCCATCGCAGGTGGCTCTGAAGTGAAAGAACTCCTGGGACCAGCAGATTCTAAGAAGTCCGACTCCAGACGGTTAATGTTCTCTGTACCAACACTATCACTCCTCAAACCTTTGGAACTTTCGCGCGGACCACCGGACAAAAGTTGATTGTCAACTGAAAGCAGATTGCTAGCATCTACTCGAGTCCCTTCCTTGATGCTTGCCTCTGCTGTCTCTTTTAATTGAACTGAAGCATCAGCCTCAAACTCTCCTCTGATCACTTCTTTAGATATATGGGGAAGATTAAACTGAGTCCCCTCGTTGGCATCTTGGATGGACGTGAACCTTGATTCGAAACTGTTTACTTGCTCAAGTGCGCTGTACCTCTTAGTAAGGTCAGCATCTACCTGCTGTTTAGAAATGGGATCTTCCGCTACACTTCTCTTCGTCTGCACAGATTTAAGAGCGTCCACCAAAGATCTCAGGAAGGTGGGCGGACTGGCTTCAAAAACGTTTACAGTCCTATCTGATTTGGACGCGACATCTCCTGTTTCGGATCCAGAAGACCGGTCAGAAATCGATCCATCTGCTTGAACGTGCACTAGCTTTTCATCTTTCCCACAATCCCTTGTACCTGACTGGAGAAGCTGACATGATCCTGTTGATTCCAGCTTTTCTTGCTCCATGTGTGATGCTGATTCTAAAGCTTCAACCTCCGGATGGGACGAGGCTCGGGACGCTATCACGGGAGCAGCTGGAGTCTGCTCATAAGATTGCCGTGTTTGACCACCTACTTCTTCAGCACTCTTAAATCCTTCTGAGCTGCCTTGAATACTATCCTGACTCGGTGTCAGTAGGATGTATGACCAAGACTTGTTGTCCTTCATCAGAACACGATCCAGTTGAACAATCTCTGGTATTGAGGACAGGAACGGCACTACCTTTCCATGACCGTAAAAATCCTTTTCAAGATTGAGCTTTCCTTCCCTAATATAGTTTTGAAGATCCGCAAGCATCATGCCATTGGGATGTGAAGAAAGAAGGCACTTAAACTTTTGCAACAACTTTTGGGGCGGTCGTCGCAGAACTGGCTTCACATTGGAACTGGAGAGCGCTCCTCCCTCTGTGCCAACTGATGCTGAAGTAGTGTCCTTCACTACTTGTTTCTGAGTGGACTGTACAGGAGAAACGGGTGATGCAGTGGGCTTTTTTATGACAGGCACCGAGCTTCCATTGGCTTCCAAAGCTTTTGACTGCACGGAAGAAGGAGAACTAGATGGAGGAGCACTTGGAGGAGTCGGCATAGCTCCTCCCTCAGCAGAATGAGCATTTCCATCAGAACTCCTTGACACAGGGTAATAGCTAGGAGTGTAGGGTCTTGGACCCCCGTGCCTTGAGTAAGAAACCCCTCCAGGCGATCCATCAGGTGGTCTGAAATCTGGAGAGGTCGCTAGCAGCAAGCCTTCACCTCTTACTAGACTGTTCCACTGCCATACATGTGTCGCTGCTCCAAGTAGAGCTGGAGAAACTGTCGTTCCGGCAGGGCAGGCTAGCAAAATGTTGTAATTCCTCATACGCAGTCTATGGAGAGCATTGGAAAAATCTCGATCTCCGGATATCAAAAACAAATGTGCGGGTGGAGGATGCTCGAGAGTCCACAGAATTAGATCAACAAGAAGCGCCCTGTCACTAGAATCCTTTCCACCTGCAAGGCAAACGTTCCTTATCAGAAGGCTACAACCATACAAACATGAAGAGCAGGACTAAATAACCAAAGACATGCAGGATAAGAAGGGAGTACTCTACCAAGTGCTCAGAAAATGACACAACCTCAGACCACTTTAAAGAGAAGGACTACTTTTGTCCTCAGGTCTCAAACGCTCAGATGCAGTGGCAGAAACCGATCATGAGAGGAATAACGTAGATAGACCTGATGGAATGTGGTGCAAACGAATTCCTGTCGCAGCAAGCGCCTCCTGTGTTGTTCGCGAAAGCTGCACTGTATCTCCATAAGCTGATATCGACACCGGACCCTTGAACCCACTCAATCTAAGCCCACTCACGATGTTAACTCCTACTTTGTAAACCTCGATACCCTGTGGAACGTTACAGTTCTCAAAATCCCACCACACTGCAACAGCTACATCTTCACCACCACCCTCCCATCCTGCTCCATACAGAAGTGAGGGATCCTTTCTCCTCCCTCCTCCGCTGCGCCCGCTGCTCCCGGAGCTGTATTGAACTGCCCCGGTGAATTGGCAGAGTTTCATTGATTTCGTCAAAGTAGGAGGTGCTCCTGCAGTGAAAACCCATCGTTTGCTGTTTGGGATTTGAAGAGGTTGTCGAGAGCAGGTCCTTGGGGTTGAGCGGCGACATCCCAGTAATTTCAGATCTTCGAAAATGTAAGGAGTCCATGTTATGGACAAGGGACCGACTTTGAGAGCCCGCAAAGCTGGACGAGAATCTTTAGTGACCCTGAAGGACCGCATTGGACCTGCTTATGAAGAGAATTCTTCAACTTAGATCTCAATCTCTGATTGGATGTTCCACGCCCTCAGTGACCACCCCTCACATAGCATGGCAGCTTTGCGATCGTGCAACAAAGACACAAAGCAAATCATTGTCTCCGTCCCCACGTCAATTCGTTCTCTGGCTGTAGACCCACAAGATAATTGCTTCTTATTAAACTCTGAAAATTCTCTTGCCATCCATTGCCTGCCATATTGAACAAACACTGATGAGGAAGGACCTTCCAAATAGATCACAGGCTCTACGAATATTTGATGGAAAGATCTCCTATGCCTCGATCCGCAGTCCTCTACCAGTCCCTCACAGACAGCAAAAAGATGAGAAAAAATTCTCATCGGTGAGACTGAGTTCTGCAAAGCACCCACGAACTTGCCTCGCCAAACTTCAACTCTCACCTCCCACTGGTCCAGCTGAATTCTAATGGATCTCGGGACAGCAGACCCCATCAATACGAATGACCTTGCACTCCATCTTACATCACTCACAGATCATACATTAAGCATGATTTGTACTCCTGTAATGCTCATTTCTAGTAGTATATGTCGGCTGTCTGTCAAGACGAAAAAAACACAGGCAGAGAAGCAACAACATACGTACAAGATTCGCTTTGATTTTCAATTCCAGCCAGAGACCGTCATAGTACCTTTTCAATGAAGTGGCAAAATTGAGCGATCCCAGTAAATCTCTCTGATCCATCCGTCAGTCGGTACCCTGTGACTCTTCGCGTTTGCTTCAGCAAAATTGGATGCACTGGACAAGTCAACTGCATGGAACGCTGAATTCCCAATCTCTCTTAAACCTCGACTCATACAGCTAGAATTCTCTCAATTTTCTCAGTTCAAATTCTTTACAGTTCGGCGACGATTTATTCATTTAACCATCCTTGGAACTACCGTAGGTACTAATCAGATTTCTTGCCATGTGATCCATACGTCGCCGACTGTTCAAAGGACGATCTAGCCAGCGATTTCGAAAGTCATCTCCTCCTGGTTTTGCTATTAAGGGCAGTGGTGAATGGCAACAGCGCCAACCGTGTTCTTTCCTAGGGTTTAGACTGTGGGTTTAGTGGTACTGTGCTTCAGAAACCAGTCCCAGCGTCATTAGGGTGTCATAGAGCCTTTGGTGGTGACTAGCTACATTGACTAGCTGCATTTTTACATTTATTTTTGTATTACAGCTTCAACTCCTTGCAGTGGGTTTTGTCACCAAGCACAGAGAGTTATGTGACGAGAATGGACAGCAACTCGCAGTGCTTTTCACATAGGCACATTCATAACATGATTATGCTCAGCCTGTACTTCAGCCTATTGATTCTTTCAATTGTCTCCTTGTCTTCGTGAGACTGACGGGAGCGTCCATACCATTTATCACTGCGTGTAGTGTGATGATAGATTCTTTCATTTGCAGTGACGAAGAAACAGATGCTGGTTGTGTCAAGCGAAGTGTCAAACGGCACAACGTTGAAAGATGAATGTCTCCGAATAAGCAGGGTATGGAATGACCGTACGAGCTTATGTCTGCGGGATGAGTAAACTGTGAAAAAAGGTCTAATTTCTCCTATTGTTCGGCAGTCCCATGACATATCTCTATCTAAAACTCCACGGGTTTACTTTACAACCCCTGTAGCTGCGTGATTCTATAGGATTCTTACGTACTGCCTTTTGCAGCACGTAAGACGGGGAACACGCGAATCCCGGCCCCTAGAACAGCCTATCCTTTCCACCACATTTTGCCCAGAACAATCGTTTTGGTCAACCTTCCTCTATGGTTCGAACTTTCTTAGGTTTCTTCCTCGGTGAGCCTTCCATTTCTTACAACCGGTTGAATTATTGTGTTCGCCTCATGGTTTGTATCTCCGAAGATGCTCGGCCATAGTTCTTCCTGGGCCGAGTATTACGCGGTAATGATTGACGAACAAGACTGATACTTTGAGTTTTACGACATGCACATATTCTGCAAGGTCATGTCTCCAACACAGAGCAACATGGTCGGCAGATTCAAGAGTTTATTGGGTGGAGATGAGAAACTTCTAAGACAAGTCAACTGAGTTTCAACCAATATTGCGTTTACTGATTACAACATTGGACGAATATTATATTTGACTCAAAAACTCGATGGATTTTTTGAGCAAGAAAGCATACTCGTTATGTCCTTGTCAGCATACGTTACTGCTCCACTTTGTTACCCAACTTGGTCCATCTTGTAGTGGTCCTGGCTACTGATACAAACTAACGAGTCTAGATTTGTACAGAACTCTTAAATCTATTCTATCGGTGAAGGAACTTAAATATATATTTAGTATAAAGATTTGTTTAAAGATTTGTACAATTCTAAGACAGTCATATACACCTCTTCACAAGTGCTTTCCACCTGAAATCAATATTATCATACAGATCATGACCTCTTCCTCTATTCTGGAATAAAATTTTGCCAAATACAATTATCCAGACAGTAATTCTGTGACAGGCCTGGTGCCTTCTTGCCTGGTGTAAAGAGCTGCATACTTTCCTTCCAGGGTCAATAAAGCTTCATGTGTTCCTTCCTCTACGATTCTCCCTGCTTCCAAAACCACGATTCGGTCGGCTCTTTCGACAGTCTCCAAACGGTGTGCAATCACAAATACCTGCAGTATGTCATGCAATTCAATTTCCCCCTTTGTTAACTAGAGAATCTAGGGTTCAAAATATTATTTTATTATTTCATTCTTATCAAGTTGGGAAAGTTTCATATATTCAGCTATATAAAAGTAGTAGACTTATTTTGATTGTAGAGATATGCTTAGTATAAGGATGATAAACATGGTATTATTTGGTAGGTTAGCTTGGGTGTTATATATATTTAATATTGCATATGTAAGATTAAAGATGGGTGAACATGAACCAAATATGATAAGCATATGGTATGTCTTCGACCATCCAAAGGTTGGCATTTTGGAAAGTATCAGTACTGCTGATTAACTTCAAACAGCAAAGCTCTGCTTAATGTTGTCCAAGTGAAAGATATAATATTTTCAGTACGCATACAATCTAAGTATCTCTATCATGTTCTAAGCATTGTATAGATGTATAGTTGATTCTACAATTCGGAAGATTGTATTCAATTTCTGTAAGTTTGCCAATATCTGTACCCCATATTGTATCCACAACTTTTCTGAAAACAAAAAAATGTGATTCATATGGATCATTTCTAAATGATATCCCTATCACATCGCATGTCTTGCGCTTGCAATAGTTTAACCACATTCAATCCAACTACAACTCTCAATGAGACACTCTCCCCTTTGAGTTCAAAATGGAGACTGTTATCACCATCCCCTATGTAATTTATCCAACGACTAACGAACGTTATGATTGCCAGTGATCATTCTCGAGCAATATGTACTTTTCCATCTGATCGAGTTATATTCACATTGTATTTAACCTTCTGACTTAACTTTGAACTTATACACACAAATGTTAGACACACAGAAGTCAACGAAATAATGCAATTGATTGAGAGAGATAAATTAAATTCACATCATGAAAATGAAAAATGAGAATCCATTGCGGAGCTGGGACTTACCGTACGGCCAGCCATCAGCCTCTGCAGAGCTTCTCTGACAAGCTTCTCGGATTTATTGTCTAAGGCCGATGTAGCCTCGTCTAGGATCAGAACTGTTGCTTCCTGATAAATTGCTCTTGCGATAGCCAACCTGTCCACATCATCAGATGATGTGCTATTAACACATGGATTCATGAGACCTCGGAAAGATTCACCTTTCACGCAAGACGCTACGAATCGTTGAAGAATTCAAAAACCAAACTACCCGATCTTGCTTATGCAATCCACACCCTTGACCTACTAGAGAAGATCTATGGCAGAAAGGAATCATCTCTCTTCGACCACGCTTGTAAAGGGGAGAATGAAATTGTACCTTTGACGTTGCCCACCACTTAGTGATGAAGCGCGGTCACCTAATCTCGTAGAGTAGCCATGTGATAGCTTGCCTATGAACTCGTCAGCATTAGCTAGCTCAGCTGCACGCACTACGGCTTTCATATCTACCTCCTCCGGCAACCTCCCATAAGATATGTTTTCTGCCACTGTTCCTGTAAATAGAGTCTGTACGCATTGCCAGAAAAAAGGCTGTCATATCTCACAAGTTCAAAATCATAGTAGGTTTTACATAGGTCACAGAGATCGGAGATCGATGAAACCAGTCAGATTTGGAAAAACATAAAGATGATTTCCACATGCGAAATTAAGACCAGCTTAAGAACATCCCTGGGCTGAAGAAGCTAGGTGTGGTTATCACTCACTGTTTCTTGCGGGACTATAGCCACATGTTGCCTAAGAGTTTTTTTGGTCACACGCCTTATGTCTTGGCCATCAATAGTTATGCTACCTGCAGTGTTACGAGTTTATAGGTTACGCCTTGTGCCTGGATCAAGCTTTTCACCAGTCTTGTCATGTTGATTCATCTAGATGAACGATAGGAATTTCACCTTACTATACAATCTAGTGGAAGAGGACTAGTTGTCGTTGTGAGGCGTAACTAAGGTCCTTTCTCTAATGGATTGCGACATAAAAAAAAAGTTCAACGGCCCGAAGCTTCGTATTAGTTTGTAAAGTTTGCTCGAACCTACCATATACAGGGTTATACAGGCGTAGCAGCAATTTAGCAAGAGTGGTTTTCCCACCTCCCGATCCTCCAACCAGAGCCACGGTTTCTCCAGGACGTACGTGTAAGTTGACATTTTTCAGTACCCAGGGCATGTGATCATTGTACCGGAAGGAGACGTTGCAAAGTTGCACCTCGCCGGCAACATTTTCGAGGGATGTGTCTTCTTCGATACCGAGTGCCTGCATAATTAAGTAGATCAACTCCCTCTGTTCTCAAATAAGGTGAAAATATTGTCATAGATTGAAAGAATTAAACACGAATATATACAGAAGATACAAGAACCCCCTTCGAAATAAGTACGATAATTACCCCTTGTTGCTGAAGTGCCAACTCAAAGAGTCGTTCAATAGCTGGTTCGCCATTCTTTAGCTCATTGTAGGCCTTTCCTAATGACTGTCCAAAACAGCAATCACATTACTTATTACAAACATCTAGAATGAGAGGGGTCAAGGAATACTTGCAAACAGCAGTAAAAAAACATGAAGTGCATATACACCCGTCAGTAAACTGAAAGTTCCAGGAAAAGCTCTGAGCTTCCGGTGCCAGGATGGACCAGCTTTGTTTTGGGTATACCTGCATAGGCTCAACTAAAAGTACAAGGGATGTGATGAAAGACACCATGCCCCCTCCGTCTAAAGTTCCCTTGGAAATAGCCCATGTTCCAACTCCAAACAGCACCATCACTGTTATCACATAGACGAGTGTTATCATCTCAGGTATGAAAGCTTTCATTCGCTTTTTACCCAACTGAGCATCTCGCTCTGCCCATGCTAGCCTCTCAAAACGCCACTGTTCCAAGTCTTCCGCGGCATGCGCTTTTACCACAAACATTGATGGAAGAACCTAATAGGCAGAAGAATAATTAGATCATTCCATCTCACGAATGGTTTCACTTGCTCACGAGGATCCCACATCCAGATTCATGAGTTGCTGAATTTTCTATTAGCAAAGTCACAACATTACCTCGTTCAGATACGCCGATAAATGTGCAATGCTGTCCTGCCCCTTCCGAGCTAACTTCCTCAATTTCTCACCCAGCATGGCTATGACTAATCCCATACAAGGAACAACCTATAACGGACCACTGTCATTTCCATTGTTAGCTCTTTCGCATTATGCAAACCCGAATCAGAAAAAAGACCATTTCTAGACCTGAGTAACCTAAATTTCGTTTCCGTTGCAATCTGTTCATTACAAATTCGTGATTCCAGTAAAACTAAGATTCCATTCTGAAATTTCAGAGCTCTGCTGGGTTTGGTCATGAGTGCTTTCAAAACAGTTCTTTACCGAAAACGTTGCGAGCGCTAAAGTTGGATTCAGCGTGACCATTCGAGTAGCCATGGCAACCAGCTGAAGCGCACTTGGTACCATCATCTGTACAGTGAATCAAGCACCACGTTCTCAACCTTTGAATCCTATTCTTATCCGTTATTGTCCTTGTGCACTCAACAGAACGACCGCAAAATGACACTTTGAAGGAGTATGATGAAACCAAAAACTTCATGTGAGTTCTGCAGAGAAAGGTGAAATTCCTTCGACCAGATAGACCTTCATACGAAATATGAGAAGAGGGAAAATTCTATACATGAAGGAGAGAATATATGGTATCTCCCATATCTTCAGCCTCTGAGGTGACCCGAAATGCAATGTCACCGGCAGCTGCTGCTTCCTGCCCTTCAAAAAATCCCATTTCTCGCTTCAAAACTCGCTGGAAAATATGACTTCTGACCTTCAAAGTGATGTTGAGCGCCGACTCCCATAGAAGTGCCTGTTGCCAAAACTGGGCTACAGATCTCGCTCCGATAATTATCACTACCCATACCACCTTCCTCCCTAACTCAGCCAGATTACCCTGGCTCAGGAGAGTGGACAGTTGGCCAATCTGAGGTACGAACATATACAAACATGCTACGGCAACCGAAGTGCAGAACCATCCCCTCAAAATGATGGGCAATTGAGGGTAAATAAACGGCAGCACTTTCTTCAAGGTGCTGCTGCTAAGAGGAAGTAAGCTTGAGCGACTAGATGCAGGACGATTTTCGCCATTATCTCTGCCCTGACTTTGATCTACGGCAAGCGTGTCAGACGGATAGAAGGCATCAGAGGACACAATTCGCCTGCTGTAGCAATTCGTGTGGCCGATTCGAGTCTTCTTCCAAGAGAGATGTCGGAGTGGGCAGTCGACAGAGAAGGACTTCGAGCCACATCCATTCTCTCCTTTCCTTGCAACGAGTTTCTTCTTGTAGGATCTTTTGGTAGAAACCGGGAGCCTCACAGCAGCGGGTATAGCAGTGGAGCATGTTGTGGGCATCGACCCGCATTTAAGGTATGAAGAGCACAAGCTGGAAGAGATCATTCCAAAAGGCGCATGCTTGATCGTAGATGAAAGACCCATGAAAACAGATGGACATTTACAGAGCCCACCGACAAGCGCAACGACTCTGTGATAATTCTACGTTCTAAGCTACGACTGAGGGAAAGAAAGTTCACGTGGGATCAGTGCATCAGAAGAAAATTGCCTTGCGCACAACAGATTCCTCGCTACACAATCTCGAGCGACCGCTTTCTCCTAAAGAGATAAATCTCGCTGCGAGCGTATCGCATCATTCCGACATTCTTGTCTGAGATCACTCCTGTCTTATTATGACACGTCCAACGACTCAACACTTTCTGCTACTGCGAGTGAGACCTGATCGGCCGACGACTCATTAGAAACCCGCTAGATGCCCGAGCAGGGATCAAAGATTCGTCCAGATCGAGGTCCGGAAGAAATGAAGTTCAACGATGCTGCCGTGGCGATTGTTGTGTTAGAGCGCGCCACGTGTCGAAAAATGCGGGCTCCTTGTGGGCGCTGCATACGTTGATTTTCAAATGCGGAGAAATTGTAATCTTTCAAGTTGAGTATGATTCGTACATGGGTATGTGGATCCAACACGCGACCATTGATTGGAGAAACCTCGAAGGAGATCGAGGAATCTTTTTTATAGGAACTTTCCCCAATCTGACCTCGCGGATGGTGGATCTCTTTTTCGCTTTCGTCACACAAGTTTTTATTTTCTACGCACTTTTCTGATTCACGGGTAAAATGTCTCACCGATTTCAAGGTGGGCCAAACTCGCTTCATAAAATGCTCCACCGTTCCTTAAGTAGTAGCATGTTACTAGATGTGTACTTGAGAAACTACTCGTTTTCAGGTTATGAGTTTGGAGTCTCGAAGTTTGGACGGAAGTTCTACTTTCCAGAGTCCTCTGCTCCCATCGATCTTCAATCTTTGCTCTCTGTATAAGCAATCATGGAAAAAGTGTGTCCATGTATTCTCTTCTACTGGCACAACGATAAAGTGAGTATTTTGGTTGAATCATTTTTCCTTACATGGAAATTAATTAGGTCAGTGTCATCTATTACTTCACGAATCATCATAATGTCAATGATGATTTATTAGACCAAATTGTGTGGCCAGAATTTTAGGTTCCTTCCAAGGTTTTGTATTGATCATTCTGCTTCTTCAAAAAGGAAGAAAGCAAGTGGATATCGGTGCAGCTGTATCAGCACAACTTTGTCTCATTACTACAACAGCGATTCCACTTTTGGTATTGTACCGAAACCTAGAGGCCAGTTGGGAATATGCTTGCTTTCTAGCTAACATAAGTAACTCAGTGAACGGATGATGAACGCAACGCCCATCCTTGTAAAACCTCTCGAATTCGTTACGTACTCGGCTTTAGCGATCGATTCGGAGCTTTTCTCTTCGTCAGGGAACTATTTCTGCTGGTTTCATGGAAGCATTACGAATCAGGCCTTTCTTTGGACAACATACGAACACCAATTAAGAGCAGTTCTAGACATGGAATCTGCGATTTTTGCTCGTTGGGAGAGCAAAATAAGCAACTGTTTGCCGAGTTCACTTTCACCTGGTTCGTAGCTGTCAAAGAGTACGTAACAGGAGAAGAGCACATCTCTTGCGAAAATTCCCAATGGAGGGTAGGGAGAAACGTAGCCCCGGTTATGGATTCCGTCCCAAATTAATGTGGAACACTGGAGTGCAAGAGTATCTCACTCGAGCCTATGGAGCAAAGCAATTTGATGCAATATGCGATGCCTTGATGTAAGTCGAATTGCCGTAGTATCCATTCGAATGGGGAACAGTGAATTCTTCGCAAGCATCGTCGAGACAAGATAGTTTTGTTTCACTGCTTTGAGAACAACTTGTATGCCTTTGTCATGACATTCATTTAGAGAGCATAGTCCATTGAGAGATCGTAGCAGTCACTGACAGATCCTGTAATGCAGGCGCCCTTGTATCAACTCAACGCTCCGTGTGAACACCCTCCAAGCAAGTACGCCGGAGGTCATTGAACAGCTGTACAATGTTTTCAGGAAAAACTCGATGATCATGGGTACACACCGTGTCGGTTCTCAGGTTCAGGGACTGGATGAAAGCGGACAGAAACAATGGCTAAACTCAAATACTGAAGGAGCTAATGCATCTGCGGAACCCAATGTAGAAATTGGTCCAAATTTTCCATCAAATATGACTTTGAAGGATGGATCTGCAGCTTCTACAATTCTGGAATCCAGGGAAAGCATTGATGATAAATATAGAAGAGTCAGTGCTGAGTTTCCAGATTTTAGCTGCTGGGAACATCCGGTTTTGAAAGACGTGGTGATGGTTGGAGGACGTGGGCCATGTGAGGTCGACTGCAGGGGTGAAGCTGGGGCATCTGTCAAGGAGGTGGTGGTGAGCCGCAAGTGTGCTGAGGCAGTCCTTCGCGGAGCCAATGTACGTTACTTGAATTTGTGTTATAATCCCGGTCGCTGTGAATATGTAGCATATAATATCCGGCTTTGTTTGATTCTAGCGGAGCCGAGAGTAAAGAGCCAGACAAAGTTGAAATCAAATTGTTCCATGGCATCACTTTGGAATTAGTTACTGAACGGATGAGATGCTCCGATGTGTAACAAGTTTGTTAAGAAAGTAGATGTACGATGTGCACAATCTTGTAATACTAATTTCACAAAGCTGGCTACTCTCAAGATCGAATATTATACCAGCTTCTCTTGAAGAGATTATCTTCCTTTTTGTTTCGAAATCTTTATGATATAGAAACCTTAGTGTATAAGCTCCATCGCTTCGTTAATCTGAAAAGAGAAAACTTCAACTGCCAAGTTACTACATGTTCCTTACCTTGGTGCTCTGTTTAACAATTGAGCATGTCAGGTTTTTGTGCCCGGGGTGCTTGCATGCAGTCAGCACCTAGAGGAGGGGGATGTTGTTGCTGTTACAGTGGCCGTGGAGAGACCGGATGGAGGTGGTGGTTGGTCTGTAGGCATCACTCGCGGCACAACTCTTGAGTCCGAACATGCTGTTATCCGTACGTTTACAGTTTAAGAGTATCCCAGAAGCGTTCTCCGCAAGTTTTTTGAAGCATCTGAAGCAATCTATGGTTGAGTGCTATCAGGTTAATAAAATCACCTTCATAGAATCATAAGCTTTAAGCATTGTTCAGTGAGTAATTTATGCCTCCTTGGTAACATATAGAATATCGCCTGAGGAGAAGAAAAAGAATTTACATTACATAAACCTGCATGTTCAATGTCTGCATCCTTTAGTGCGTTCACACGAATGTCCTCTGCAGATGTAGGAACAAACTTGCAAGATTCATTTTTCTTTCTTTTTTTAATGCGTTTGCTACATTTTCTATAAACTCTTGCGGAAGTGAAGTAGGCAACCTAACCTCAGCTTGTGTTTTGCGACTCTCTTCTTTTCAGAGATGGAAGGTTCTACTCGCAGCAACTACTTTATAGGGATGGGGCGAATGATGATGTCAAGGACCGCACTTTTTAGAGAGATCAAAGGTGTCGCGGTTGAAATGACTAAGAGGATCTTCGATCTTCCTCCATTTCATGGTAAGGCACTGATAGCAAGGCAACAAATTACATACGAGGATCCAATGAAAATACTCGATAGTAGTGGCAAGCAAGAACTTGACAAAGTTACTTGTGTGACAGGTGTATTGGAAGGACAGATCTTTCTCCAAAACCTTCCTAGTATTGTGGCTGCACGTGTTCTTGGTAATAACAATGCCTTAAACCTTTCAGTGTTATTCAACAATTGTAATGATACGTTTTCAGGTTGCTCTGGTTCAATGAGTTGCATAGAAAACATCAAGAAGTAAAAGAATAAATATAAATATCTTCTTAGAATGCATCCTGGTCTTAAAACAATTTATATTGTCTCGTTCTGTATATATATACACGTAAACACTTATGGCCCCTGTTTCTTTTTGCTGTTGGAGATCCAAAGCCAGGAGAAAGAATTCTAGACATGTGTGCCGCCCCTGGTGGGAAAACGACAGCCATTGGCATTCTGATGAAAGACCGAGGAGAGGTTATAGCACTCGACCGCTCTCACAATAAGGTATGAAGAAGCTCATAAACCGAAATTTTTCCCTTCACCTGATATTACTCCTTCTCCACATCTATGAAGGACATATAATGAGGAGTCCTTTCTGGCATGATAATCATCTTCTGGAGTGTTTGTCAGGTCTCGGACATCAAGAACCTGGCGGATGAAATGAAGCTGAACTGTATACAAGCTTACAAACTAGATGCCACGAAGTCTGTTACACAAGAACCTCATATCGTGTTAAACGGTGATACGATATCTCCATCAAAATCTAGCAGTGACAGCACAACTGCAAATTTTTCTCAAGCACAAATTGACTCAATCAAACAACCGCGTCATGTTTCAATGTCCAACAAACAGTCTGGAAGTAAGTTGTGCTTCTGTAACAGTAGATTCTGTGGTATCCATGAGAGTTCATTTTTGACTAGTTGGTTCGACAATTTGCGCAGACTAGTGTTTGTCTCGTAAATGGAACAATTTCTTCATAGATTGTACTCCAAGGTCTGGAATCAAACGGTGACGGGCTTACAGTTAAACAGGCCTTGTCAAAAACAAATTCTTCTGCCTTTTGGCCTGGTTTGCCTTCTGAGCTTTAGGCTCCTTCCTAGAGAGGTCTGACTGGTTCCCTTCACGTACGTGTGTTTTTGCTTGAGCTACGTACCCTTTCAATTAGTAACAAAAGTTGCAGGTGGTAATAAGCTCCATCAGTCTCTAGTATCCTGTGCTGAAGTAAGGAATCAATTGTGTGGAATCTGATTTAATTTTGATTCTACATATGTCTTTCTCTAGCAACTACTAGTTCTCTTAGCCCCTACGAAATCAAAGCTGCTGCGAGAAAGGAGCTAAGGAGGATGAAGAACAGACTAGCTAGTGACAAAGCCGCTCTTCAAAGGATAAAGAGTTTTCAGCCACAAAGCTTCGACAGAGTTTTGCTGGACGCTCCTTGTTCAGCTTTGGGCCTTCGTCCTCGCCTTTTCGCCGGTGAGGTATTGCTACTTCTTGTCCCTTTCTTTCTCTGCCGTCGATTAATGTGCTTGGAATACTTGCATTTGGGTTGCTTGAATGGCCATTGAAATCGAGCAAAAAAGTCAAATAATAGCATGTTGGTGCTTTTTCGAGACACGTCTGTACACTTCAAGTTCGCTTGCTCTTTGCTGCATCTTTTCTACCATGTATGTATGATAGTTTTGTGAGCATACGATGTAGCAAAGTATACAATTATAATTAATACAACAATTGCAATCAACAAGTATACGGTTATAACAATCCTCTGGTCAGCTAGTTTGACAAGACCCTCCCATTCACCATCTTAGATTGAAGATGCAACTGACATTTAATTACAAAATGCATTTCCCTTTTTATTTGTATGTTTTTACACCAATTGGATAGTATGTTTGAGAGGCGAAACTTTAATAGATGGTGTTTATTCCAGAAACAAAACAAGACTTTAGACTAAGAGCTGAAGGTAACACATGATAAGATCTTTTCATTCCTAAAGTTTGAAGAGGGAAGGGATGTTCGTACGCGCATTGCATGTGGAGTCAAGTTACTAGAGATCATGTCTGGTAGGGTCATGTCTCATGTCAACGTCTACGTCATCTATGTTTTTTTTTCCTGCCCAACGGACTGTTAGTTACGTTCATGAACGCTTTCAACCTGCTGAACAAGGACAAAATTGATACCTTGGAATATGTCTTATCCGCAACGAAGCATGAAATTAAAGATTGTGAAACGCATTGGTAACCTCTCAGAGAAAAGAAATTCAAATAACAGTGGGAAGGAGAAATACATCACACAAAGGACAAGCTTTCATTGTGATAAGTCTGATCAATTCGAATTGAATTGTTTCCAGCTGCTCAGGAAGAGTAAGCAACACTTTCGAACAGCTCAAGGCATGGGTACGGTCAAGCCCATTTGCAAATTGAACAGAACATTTTGAATTTAGCCAGTCCCCCACCAGAGAGGTAGAAAGAGATATACTGAGATCTGGCAAGACCAGATCTCAGTATATGCTTCATCACATGCTGGACATGAATGCGATGGTATTCCAAAAATTTGGCCACCACTGCTGGCCAGTCAATTCAGCACCCTTGGTACTTATACACTTGAGTTATACTTGAGGAACGGTTAAGGAACCCTCTCTTCAAATATCGAGTTGCTGGAAACCGTGGCTGTGATTACTTGAAGGAAAGGTTTCTCAACTCCAAATTCTATACTAAATCTTGCTGTAGCATGATTGAGACCGCATCCATTCGTGATCTTTGCCATATATGTCGACGATATTCCCCTGTTGTGAGTAGTAAGCTTGTCCTTTAGTTTGATACGCACTTAGTCACGTGTTCATAAAGGACCTTGGAAATATCTCTTTTACATACACGATTCATAGTTTTGTGAGCAGGATAAATGTTTTGTACTCGTAATCACTCAAGAGCTCTATGTTACAAATTCTCTTCAACTACGGTATGGAGGACTGTCATCCAGTTCCTCCACCAGCGGATGAGGGATCTCAACTTCTCTGGTTTGATGGAATAAGAGGTTAGAGCCCCATGTCTACCTCCCTACTGAAATGGGATCGGAACGCTGATGTTCATGGGATCGTATGAACAAGTCCAAATCTTGCTGTTGGTAACCTGGGCACGCTTGTAACAATCCTGAGGAAAACTTCTGGCAGGCTGCCATGAGAGATCTGCGGTATTTGGTTAGAATATTGAAGAGTGCCGAAATCTACCAGAAGATAGCAGCCCTTATCTTTTGCTGCTGACTTGGATCACTGTGAAATAGGCACCAGGTTTTTTAGTGCATGGTGATACTACCAGCTGGAAATCTTAATCTAACGATCAATTGCCATTATTCTCTTGAGAGCTAAGTGCATGGCCCTTTTTGTGTCTCAAGAAGTCCAGTGCCTAAGCGCTTTCTCAGTAGACTTGGCGGTTACATATGCGAAACCACCACCTCTGTCTCGTGACAACTCAAATGTGATGCATCTGAGTAAGACTAGTCGAAATCATCAAGCCGATAAAGCGGATGTCTGTTCCTTGTCGTTTCATCATTGGAGCCTTTAACCCATTATGTAAAGACCTATCCAAAACATGGTCACGTACGTGGTTGACTTTGCTTTTATGTAAGGAACTAGTACCTATTTTGTCTATGAGTTTCCCCTCACATTCTTATTAAGGGTGAGTGGTGAAGTAGCTCATATGTGAGGGCTGTGCATTTCTTCTCACTTGTCTGTGCCTGCAAAGCCTGAAGACCACAGACCTGGCTGAGAGCTGCTGGTAATAAGAAATCCTTGTTATAGATTTAACCATAGCAAGAGAACGCTTTTAATAGTCACTGTGAAATTTCACACGTCAGGTCGTCTATAAGGCGCTAATTGAAATATCTTCTATCGTCAATAAGTCGCTGTGCGTGGTCTGTAGAGCATTCTCTCACTGAAATCCATGACATATGTATGAAACTAGGTTGCAGACCAGCCACCTGAGCTTTGAGATGATGAACTTTTGTACTTTTCTCCAACGTATCCAAGACTGCCTGAAGAGTAAACTAGAGTAAGAGTTGTGACGTCAACAATGTTGAGGCTTTCACATCACTGCGTAGCAACTGATCATGCATAAATCTACAATACATAAATCAGTTGCTACGCAATGATTTATTTGTTGTATCAGAGTTTTGTGCCATATGTGTCGACAAGCAGTATCCAACATTGTCGGGGTTGCTTCGTGGTCAAGAGGTGGAAAGCATTTCCGGTTTGTATGATACTGTGATATCCAAATATTGAAAACTTAAGGTAGCTTCTTGGAAGGATGACGGCTGTGAATGGAAGCTTTCGGGAATCAACCTAGTCGTAACATATAAGCCAGCTTCCTGGAAGGATGACGGTCATCAATTGAAGCATTCGGGAAATGACCTAGTTGTACACCATCGATCAGTCAATGTAGGAATGAGTAATAATTTCAATACAAATCTCAAAGGACAAGAATTAGCACAGATAAATACGGTTATGTAGTGATCGTGGAAAACAATTACCTGTCAAGTACTAGGGTTGAAGTTGTTTCCATGTTGGGTCTAATCATTCCAGATTTGAAGACTTCAAATTGCTGGAATAGGGAACGCTTCTATCACTCACCCGAGGATCTGGACAACCTGGCCATCTCATAGATTATCACCTGGAGCTGACAATACCGTGTCTGTGCGCTAATATAATCTTCATCCTTTCTCAAATCACTTTGTTAAGCATTTCATTTTCATCTTGAACGCTCATATAATGCTTCTACGTTTATTGCAATAATTTTCTCTGTATCTCTTCCTCTCGACCACCATGTAGACTGAGAACAAAAAAGAGTCAACCAGAGACGATGAGGTCAACTCTACATATCTCAATTTTGACTTCGTGACTTAAACTTTCGTGATGACCATTGGGTGAATTTACTTTCAATGACTCGAAATTTTGTATGAAGCATTACACTGATTGGAAGCATATGGCTAAAAGGCTAGTTGCACTAGCGTTTGACATGTATCAGACGTTTTTTATTACTTGCAGGAAACTCTGGAAACCCTTAGACAGCACTCATGCTATCAACGGAAATTGCTGGATCAGGCTGTGAAACTAGTTCGACCTGGTGGAACTTTAGTGTATTCTACGTAAGTGAAGGTGTTAATTCACGTTTGCTTTTTTTAGAAGGCAAGACTGGTGGGATGAGTGAGATAAAGTTTCAGTAGTTTTATACAAAGAGATGGGTTATTGGCTGGCTGATTTTACTCGTGCTATTTTCGCACTTCATGACTTTCTTCTTGTGCAGTTGCACATTAAATCCAGGAGAAAACGAGGCCGTTGTCCGATACGCCTTAGACACCTACCATTTTCTATCTCTCATGCCTCAGGTAAAACAATTCTAATGGACGTCGATTGATTACAATGGATCGAGATATCAGGAGTTTCTATTGATCTGTTGGTGTGTATTTCTGGGTTGTCTTGTTTGTCTTCTGATCTTGACCTAAATACATCTCTTTCACCTTACGAGAGTTCACTTGGATCCATGGCAAATCTGAAGGAACCAAGAATTGGAGGACCGGGGCTGGTTGGGGGCCTCGATGTCTTTGATGGCATGTCATACAAGTAAGTTTCAGACCTTTGGTGCTCGAGAAAACTCTGGAGTTTTTTCATAAACTGCAACCAATTTCCACTTTTTTCTTTAACTTTATCGATGAAGCTTTACTGAGGGGAAAGGTATTCAGCCCTTTTTATATTACACATACACAAGCCTCGTCATTGATTATGCTTGTAATAAAGATTTTCCTCATCATGATTCATGGAGGCATCGATTGTAGGATGGAGAAAATAATTTTCCAGTCATTCATCAGACTAGAGCTCTCTGAAGATAAATAACCTCTTACCGGTTTGTCTTTGCTTGAAATATGTCACCTTTTCAGGGAATGGCTGAGAGAAGGAGAGAAACACCTCGTGCAAAGATTCAGCCCGGGCGCATCCTATGATACTATCGGATTCTTTATAGCCAAGTTTTCTGTCTCTTTGAAGATGGGCCAGTCTCGCGATGACATAATTTAACAAATCTGAAGATCGTAATTGAAGAATCGGGACAAAAGGTTATCCAGGATCATGAAATATACTTTCAAATCCTAGTTCTGTTTACGCCCCACCGTAGATAATTTTAGTTGCTCTTCGACAACGCGGAACGTAGGCATGACATCAACAGATATTGGACTCTAAGGTGGACACACACTTAACTAGACCTTCAGGATTTTGTTCAAGTCATGCATTGAGCCTGGAGAGAATTAAGTCGAAAAGACGCTAGACGTAGATTCTAGTCAATACAGCTGACATATTCTCTGTCACAAAGAGGTAAAACCTCCGGACTGGGTCTACGATTGAAGCAGATCAAAATACAGAGCGCACAATTTTGATCTTCCGTACTTATCTGCAATGTGAGGTACGTTTCTTGTCGGTGCTTAATGCATGGATCCTCACATATCATTGTGAACACTCTTGTGAATGATAGTCCAGTCAATTTGGTATGGTCTCTCAATCAGCAATTCGGGGATGAGATCGTTTCAGAGTACGAATTTTGCAGCAAGGGGACTACCTACCGCTCCTAGAATGCTGGACTTTCTTTCCAAGTTGTTGGGTACTGAGCTCCTTGTCAGTCATTTTCGTTTCCTTTCCAGTAAGAAGTTATGAGCCTGGACAGTGCATGAGAGGAGTTGAGATACATGCTTTCTGAGTGGGCCTTGTTGTAATCTCCGTAGAATCTACAGTAGGTAACTTTTTAGTGTCATAGTTACATTTCCTCTCAAAAGGTGCGCTGTTCCACGTGGGCAAGAAAGTGATCTCAGTAAACTATCTCCGTTCTGACCTGTCGATGTATCAAAGTCAACCGATCGAAGAGACTGCTTCGTCATCTGACTCACGCTTCAGTGACATGCAGTATAAGGTTTCCGTGGTGACGTTGGAACGTCTTGACCTCCAAATCCCCCAACTATTCGACGTTTTCCCAGCAGTTCAAATGGTGGACGGCAGAAAGTCTGATTAAGTCTGTCAAGTATTCCGCTTCTCCCTACGTTTCTCACAAGTCAGTGTAAAGTACCATAGCGAGCCGACGAAAGTCTCGTCGTCTCCTGCCGAAGCAGCGACCTAGTCTGTCAGAATCATCAGAATGCACGATTTTCAGACTGCAAAAAACACGGGGGACTGGGTTTCAATATGCTCTTCTGCCTGCCTCAGAGACTGCAGTGGCCGGGCGTGGAACTAACCATCTAGGGTGCGGTTTGACCTCTCTGGTCTCCTTTCAGAATTTTTATTCGCACACGACTTGATTAGGATATGCAACGTCAGATTTTAAAGAATATATGTCAGATAGGTTGTATACTGGAATGAGATTGTTCTGCACGCGTCGCTTGTGGCTCCATAGACCTTCCCTCCTTTGGATTCAAGCACGCAGATCCATCAATTGTCTCCAACCTGATTTCGCAGCACAACTACTCCAGTCTACAATACTTAGCGCAATATTGAAGCATATTATCTCTGTATCGTGATCGATCTCTAGTGAGCTACGAATAAGAAGATCTCCTCCCCGTCATCTGCAGTTGAGATAGACTGTAGATTCTTTTCCAAATATCTTGATTGTGCCCGACGGTAAAAACTGATCCCTGCTGACTAGAAACTACCTCTACAGGCTCCAGTAGTGAGTCACCCTGATATTCCCCCGGTAAAAACTTTGCTGACAGTTTGGAAAAACACAGAGCTCCAAGATTTGAACTGGGGCTCCGGCTATTCCCAACTTGCCCGTGAAGATGCTTCCTTATCTGTCAAGGTAGTCGACTGACTGACAGCGCGGATCAGAAATCATTGTGACCTGATCCACGGGGAGGGTTTTGCAGAGAAAAGTAATGGAATGTAGAATCGTTCCTACATGCCCAATTTGGCAGTCAGACGGGATCCCCAGTCGGCTGAAAACGTCTGCCTTTCCTTACCCAGGCTCCCCGTCCACCTCTATCCACGATACACATAACCACGATCTACTTTCGAGCGAGCCGGCCAGCGTTAGGAGATTCCATGTTAGCTGGGCTAAACGCTGTCTTCTACTTCTGGTCAGTGGTCGCTCAGCCATATATGGCAAGGCAAGGAGGCCGGGCAGTAGCGACTGCAGGCATTTTATAAGCAATGATAAAGGATTAGCAGCAGGGCGATCTTTTCGTGTCTATAACCAACCGAAGCCTGAGGTGAAAATCTCATCCGGGGCACAATCCTTCCGGAGTCCAGACTCTTCGATCTATCTATAGCACAGAGGCCACGGGCCAGCACCTGCCCCCTCAAGTGCCATCCACTTTACATCACTTTGTGAAGACTTCGAACATCTCCACCAAGTCATCATCCGTCCAATCACTTCGTTGTACGTGGATGTGCAAACCTCCAACTATCTCGTTTTCACTTCAGATCTTTCTCCTTTCCCTCGTCTGCCCCGAGTCCCTTCTTCTTCTGAGCTCTGTGTCTCGTTTTATTCGCGGCCTTCATCCGGATCGTATGCTACCGCGGCCGGCTCGAGCATCCCCAGCGTCTCAGCGTCTACGCATGCTGAGAAGTGCCTTCCTCTACATGACAAAGTCCACCAGTTCTCCCACTGACTTCTGAGGCGATATGCGGCACGCTCCTCATCCTCCTCCCGCGTCCTTTATCTCTTTAACCTTCAACTTTCTCCTGTTCGTTGTTCTGTTGTCTCGTCCTCACTCCAGTCAGCATGCGGGCATCTTCGTCCTCCTCCATGTGTAGAACTCGGCTTTCCCTCATACATACGTATGCAGGAACACCGAATAATATAGCCACAAGCATGGGCAGACCCCATGTATGTATGGATGTATGGAAGTGCGTTGGTACGTGCCTTCGCAAAGATCTGCCCAGTTGGTGCGCTGGTTACCGCATTCCCCCATACGGCAACAAACAACAAACAGTGCACCCACTCGGTTCTTCACATATTGCCTCGTGGATCTGCTCCATAATTTCTATGCTTCCGGCCCTACGACGGTGCACAGTAAATCTCACTCACTTTCTCATGATGGCCGCCAAGGCTTTTCACCCTGCGAGAAGCTTTCCAAAATCTGCTGATTTGGTCCAATGGATCCCCTCCGCAGCAATCAGTATGCATACATGGATCTTTTGTACGTTATCCTCAGTCCTTTTCATTTCGAAATATATTCAGGTATCGACGTGGCCGGAGTGCCTACATACAATTGTTCGATATAAAATATTTGACGTCGTTACGTGGTGCCATTTGGAAAATTCCAATAATTTTTTGAGTTCGAAATTACATATGAATATACAAGCTTAAAATACCGCAAAAGAATATCAGTTTTTTAAAAAATCACTTTAAAACCTGGAAAAAGGTGAAATATCTGCACTTTTACATATTTATTGCCAAAAAAGTGCACAACCTGAGGAAACGGAAGTGGGAAAAAAATCAACGCGGCGATCCAATTAGATGATTACCTTTCGTGTGACTGTCCTCAGAAGCAGTTGCTGCTCTTGTCGTTTCCGAATACCATATTCGGATGGAAATAAACCAACGCGGAACAAGTTACCAATTACCTTCACAGTGAGGGGCCCACCAAGATCCTCTAAGGCCCCACAGAACACGGATATGGAGCCCTCTCCCTTCCTGCCCGCGAGAGGATGCAACAATGACTGACTTGTGGGGTGGGTCCACCGGCTCTTCCTCTTGTTGCCACATCGCCGTGGCGAACCTGTGGACCGGTACGTACAGGTGATGGTTAATACCCAAACACATTTTTCTCTCTCTTCCTCTTCTCTAGAGCGGAAAGCGTGAGGTGAGAGAAAAATCAATGGATCCCAGTTTTTCGACACGCACGAAACGCACAGATTTTCTCTGAGAGCGGCGAATGAGATCGTTTGTACGGTTACCTGAAGGCAGATATTCTTTCTTGTCCTGACCAATCAGGTTACCAGTGACGGCCTCCAATTCATTTCCTTCAAGCTTTCCTCGCTGCCAAGCTGGTACGCCCTTTCCGCATAGCGCGCGGTTTGTTGTTTCTACCAGCTCAACTCCGGTCCAGTTAGTCAACATAGAAGGCATCTGCCCCTATCGAGGACCTGGATACAAGTCCCCCCTTGACTAATTTCCTTCACGGAGAATTTCTTTAGACGTAAACTAACAAGGAATCACTTAATTTTTCTAAGCTGCCAACGCGTTTTACTGAAGATGGCCAATTATGTAAGATGAAGAAATGGCGTGCATGGGACAAAAGTAACGATTTCAAAAACAATCAGAAACAAAGTTTTGGGCTAGTTACATTTCAACCAAGGAATGAGTATGATATAGAACTTACCTCTTTATGGTATCCATGACTTCGATCCGAAGAGTCAAAGTACAAGTCTTTGCAAGAAGGGAAAACGTAAAGAAGTCGAAGAAAAAGAAGGCAAAGTCTTCATGTCAAACATATTAAATCAAATAAAGTAACATTTACATGTATTTGATCATTAATACCATGTCTTATAAAAAATACCGTACATATAATGCGATACGCCTATAGAACATCAGCAGAGAACTTCTGGATTTCTTTCGAGTGAAGCTCAATGCTCAATGCCTGGAAACATTTAAGAATCATTGATATTTTCTAACAATCCAAACCCGTCCACATAAATACACATGTTTTTCTCTCGCCGTGTCAAATTGAAATCATCAGCGCTGCCGGGTGAATCAAAGTATCTAGTTCATGATGAATTTTACCAGATATCTCAAGACTGAGGGAACAAACTTCAAAGTTATGTGTATTTTAAATACATCTTAACTGAGTATATGAGCTTTTTGACATCATACAGCTGTTTCAATGATTGATTGTGCTCCATCTGCAAAGAACACTCCGAGAGAGAATTTCTAGCTCCAAGTTTCATTATCATGGAAACTCATATCCCGCTAGATGTATCGGAATATCAAAGTAAAAATCCATGGATATAAAATTACAGAAAAAACTGACTTTCAAAACTTGCATGTAGTAAGGATAGTATGGGATATATATAAGGGCATGCATAAATAATTCTTATTTTATCATATGAGCAAAAATTAGGGCAATTGTCTCTTGAGCACTACCAAGATCCTTGAGATAACCATGCTCTGGTATTTATTCAGTCATATACGTTTGTGGTTTTGACCTGGGCCATCCCATGTATCTATTGGTGTAGGTTTCTTAGCGCACTAACTTCATTAGCTCTACTTATCAATCTCGTCATCTTATGAGATCTTGAATTAGCTCACTTAGATACAACGTTGGATTAACTGTAACTATTTTTTAATGTGGATCACATATAAATTCCTAATGAGATGAAGAATCTACATCCAAAGTTTATTCATTGGAAGAAGAAATCGCTAAAATATTTGCAGGGATTAAATTTTGAGCAACAAATTCAAAATTTTCACTTGTATCACTACACTTGAAGTCCATATTTTCAAAT